ATAAAATTAATTACTGAGGCGTGTCACAATGGGACGAAACGGCCGCTCAGTGCTTCCAGGCTTTCCATGGTGGTCTAGCTTCAATTGACTCATGATCTCAACTATTAAATTTACTATACTACTTTTGCCTAAAGACAATATCGAGCAAAGCATCCACGATATATATGTGCCAATAAGAGATTGATTAGTCACAATTCTAAACGTCAATTGTTTGAAAAAGTCAAAATATATTTGTATATACTTTTACGTTGATTGTCTTGTATGATTCTTTTAATGGCCCAATATCTATTTTTTTCTCATTTTGTTTTACTGATCAAAGGCAAAGGCGGCCTGCTTGATCATCTGGGCTACCTGTTCCTGCCATCTAGGTATTTCAACAAGTTATCTATTTTTGTTTGTTTTAATATATCACTATGTTTATTAATCGCATAACCTATTCTGCTGCGTTTCTGAAAAGTGTAAAACCTTTCGTTGTCAAAGTTACAAAAAACTCAATAAGAAACAATGTGGTTGCTGGCAATATACAACGGAAAGAATGCACATTATTCAGATGTTCATTTAGTGAACTGCTAACATCTAACTGGCGATCACTCAATATTTATCGCCAGGACCGATCGAGAAGAAAGAAACGGAAACTTGTTGAAATGCTTCACGCTGAGAATTCTATATTGTACCAAAAATATAATATTTAATAAAGCTGATAATAATAATAATAATATAATTAATAATAATAATAATAATTTTAAACGTTATTTAAAATTCACGGTAACTTCCATCATACTTACAATTATTGCATAGCTACCAATAATATTAAGTTAATCAAAAGTCGTTGGATGAATAATAAAATTAAGTTTTTTTTAAGAAGATTTTTGTAATTTGTATCTTAACTATTCCAGCAAAAAGATTTTTTTGTATAAACTAATTATTATCCTATTAGTAGAGAGGTTTTATAAATATTTAGTTTGTAATTGGTATTCATAACCAACTAACTCCAGTTCTGGTACAACTGAAAACTAGATAAGATTTGGAAGATGATTTGTCCTAGTATAGGACTCTTCAAAAATGTACACTGATAACCCTATCAGGGAATAAATTATTTGTATTTGACTGGTTGTATATTCATCATATGTTTGATTAGTCATAGAATTTAAATGATTTTAGCAATCACTGAAGTCTGCAAGGATTTTACTAGACTAAACTTTCACATACATGAACATCTCTTCAAAAACCTACTGTGATTTGTTCAACTGAGCGACAATGTAGGAATATTTCTATTCAGTACATACATTATATCTGGCATAGAGGCGAATTCACAACTACGGTTCACGGCATACTGTAGTTTTCAAATGAAGTTATCAATTAATACTGTCAACTAATAGATAATACTAGCATACACCTACTCAGGCACTTAGTTGTAATCTAATGGTTCACATTTCTGAACTTCAGTAGTCTTACAATAAAACCCAACCATTGTTTGATTTCATCGGTTGACATTCAAATAGCATCCGATTAGGCTGACTTCATCAAAAATGGATTCTCAGCAAAACTTTTGAGCGACTAATTTGAAATAAATCAATTATAGGCACTGGATAGTCACGCAAATACGTGATCTGCGGAGATATGTTAACTTGTAAAGTGTTTGATTATTGATCCAACTATATAAAGTATAGCTTAGATTATAATATAAACGATATCATAAAGATACTCCTTAAAATTAATATCTTCAAGGTTTTTGAAGCAGACCATAAGTGTTTACGACCAAAGAGCCCCAGATTAAGACACTTGCTTATTAACTTAGTTCATATGATATTAAAATTCAGGTAGAAACTATATTAGCCTAAAATATCTATCATATCTGCCGAAAAATCTACAGTTAATAATTCAGTTTCTAAGGTAACGATGACAGAAGGTTTGAATCCTTTAGAAAAAATTAGATTTAAATAATAAACAGTATTTCGTTTTGATGTATGCCTTTTTATGAATAATTAGACTAGAGTGACAGTACACTGGTATATGCGATGTCATATACGTAATGTAGAGTGTATAAGTATATAAAATAAAACAGACTGATTTATGGGAGCTTCACAAATATTATCATAATATATTAAGCAACATGCTATTCCCTAAATAGAAATAGTCATAAACACATCACATAAATGTTACATTGATCAGTAAATATATGATTGAAACATGTAAAATAATTGCCTCTTTACAAATGAATAATTTCACGAGTTATTATGAAACATTTTCTACTCTGAACCTTGTATTTAAATTACAATCATAATATCAAAAACACTAAGAATGCAAAATTTGGAGAATAATCAACGTAACAGTATGATGAATATGTAGGGTCTATAGAAATTATTGAATTTTTATTAATTACATCGCGGAATAATCTTAACGAAATAACAAATAAAAAAAACCAAGAGACATTGTACAACAATACTATACCAATAATCACCATGACCTCCCCAGTGACTAACACTGGAGATGTAATCCTAGGAGTTTTAGTGAGAAGTCGTGACCAGTGGAGCTGGACCATGTTGGGTGTGCGTTGGTTATCTATCGAAGGCAATCAAAGATGCACACAAGTGGACGCCGACTCAGTAGTCTGGAGGTTAAATTCTCACTTTGAAACTACAGGTCTTGGGTTCGATCCTTAGTGCGTCCCACATTAGGACATAAATTTTTTCCACTCTGTTGTTCAAACCAAAGAAAAGACAGTCTGGAAATGTAAATATGACAGATAATCTTAGGGAAATGGGATGTCTCTGTATTCAATAAACATTCCTCAAAAAGTACTTAGACTTAAATGATGTACTCACAAACACGCAGTTAATCTCTACAATTTAAGGCATTATTACAAAAATTTCCAGAAATTATAAATTTATGGATATCAGGACTGTGAAAAATTAAAGGAAATTAATATCAGTATTAACAGTAGAACTAACTGAAGTCCAATCAAATACACATTCTCCTTGCTTAGCAACTGTTCCTTGAATTCAATAAGATGGAGACGTTAGTCCTACTCCATAGACTCCCAAACATAAAGCACTCAAGCTGAACAGTGAGAATTTTATACCAAGTAGGTCCATTATGTTACTATCTCCTTAACCCTAACTGTAACCCAGCAAGTTTTACCTTATTCTTTCTGAATTATGGCTCAGCGATCTTGTCGAGTTTCTGAAGGCACATCTCCCAATGTCAACAAATAACCATTTTCTTTTAAAATAAAATGCGCTGTTTTACTCGAAAATATTTAAGTAGTGTAATTTATAAGCAGAAATTTCACACCCCGACTTCAATTGTGATTCATGACCGAAAGCAAAAAAGGTTGATTCGTAAACTTTTGCAAATGAATCCTCAAAGTACATATTATTGAATCATAAATAAATATCAGTCAGTGGAAGATAACTAAACTGTAAGCTTAAAACTCACAGTATGAGAAGTGTTACTCAATTTTTCGCCATGAGAACATCCCGAATTTAAAAAAATAACGTCTCTCTAGTTGTTAGTGAATAAAATATTTCATCAATCTTACAAAAGATACTGTGGTGCATGCTACTTATATCTGTCTACATAAGTATTGTGCAATACCAATCAGAAGTGAAATGCCTGGCAACAGAAGGTTGAGAAGACTGAACTGAAGAAAACAAAGGGAAACATCAAGGAATTGAGAAGTGGAAAAATCATGAATAATGTGAAGGAAAATTCGTGGAGGATTTGCAAATGAAGTACTTTATGTATGGTTTCCTTATTTTTCGAAAGAACTCTGTAATTTTACGTTGAAGAATAAATTGGTTTTCCTCACTTGAGTGTTCGTTCACTACGATATGAAATTAACAATACAATGGAAACATATAGTTAGTCACTGATTACTATAGGCTAAAATTATTCACAATTGATCCTTACCATATACATATATTTACAATGAAATTTGCAAAAATATCGTGAAAGTCTATCTCGCTTTTCCAATTCTACAGTCCAGTTTTAAATCTCAACAACTTGAATGAATTGAATATACTTGCAGAGACAAGTTTATTCGAGTAACGTTTGGTTATATGACGATATTTATGTTAGGTAAATTGTTAAGTGAAATATATCCCGCAGGCATAGGAAAAGCATGAGTAATATAGAATAAAACAGATAACAGTCCATGGTTTGCATAACACAAAAGTGAAAAAAGGACATAGAACCCATGGTTTATGAATTATTTTGATATTCCGTACTCATAACCATGACCAATATCTTCTATACATGTGTTCAAATAATAGGCGAGCAAGCATAATTGGGCAACTTGTTTGCCTTTGACAAATGTATGTCAACTTTATTGTATGCAAGATATTAAAGTACTAATCCCAGAACACTTAAACTGAACAGGAATAACTGTTGTATAATTTTGTAGCCATAGAAAATTACCACTTAAACGGAAAAGCAGTAAGATAGTACTCAGTTATAGATATATGCAGGATAATGCTGTGTTAGTGGTAGATTCTTATAAAAGGTATTTAGATTAGATGGATTCCCTTTAACTAACGTAATAAAGCCAAACATCGAATATTTTTAATCACTAGCGTGCCTCAACGGGTTATTCATACAAAGATTGAAGAGAGCTAAGAGTGAAGTGACCAAAGGTATAGTACTAATCAATGACTTCATAAATTCTTGGGTGTGAGTTCCGAAAACTTTGCAAAGTAGCAAAAAAGCCAAGAAATCTAACTATTATGACTCAAAATCTGTTACTGTGATGAAGATAGTCATTCTTTATCTTCCTGTAGGTAATGAACATCTTACCGTTGAGTACAATTTACTAGCCATATTCATTCAAAATAACTTTCCTCTAGTTTCTTTTATGACATCTACATGAGTTTCTTTCAGTACTGTAACATCGTAACATGGACTGATCACTTTTTGAGTTCTATTACTTTATGTAATGTCAACAACACCAAGTATCACCCGGAAAAAGGAACACGTTCCTACATCAACTAAATAAACAATTTTTTAAGCCTAAACTAGTTAATTATTAAGCTAAATAAATCTAATTTATGGAAATTCCATACTTAAATTGTAAAATTCTGCAGTCAAAGAAAAAAGCCTCACAAAACAAAATACATTCCATTGAAGAGAGTTAGCGAAACTGCATAAATTGGAAACAAGTAAGACGCTGAAGTTTATCCGACTACCATGTACACCACATAGATTTTTAATGTATTCAAGTTATTCAACTCAACAATGACTTACATCTGATCGTTGTCAAATATATATATATAATAGAATCAAAACTGTACAAAGTTCCGGAAGAAAAAATTAAGTTGAAAAGGATATTTAAAAGGGGCATGGATAAACAGAGGAGCGTACCAGTACAAATTAATAATACATTAAAGGGATTTAGAAAGTTAGAATTTGGATTATACAAATTAATAAAATATATATTATCATTAATTACCATAAAAATGTCACAACTTAATGTTGGAAATCATTTTTTCTCTTTTCTGATTGTCAACACAATTTTAATGTGTCAATAATTAGAAAAAAAGACAAATATATGTATTTTTTTGTTTACACAACATCAAAATTAGTGAATGGATAAACGAGGGAAAGAATAGATTTTTAAAACCAAGTGAAAAAAGGTTTTTTGTAATAACGTAAATTGAAGCGCTGTTCATCATTTTCATCAGCATCATCACCAGCACTGTCGGCTAGATCCACTTCAGTCTGTTTACTGTCATTATTATTATTCAACATAATTTGTTTACTTCTAAAAGTTGGTAAAGCAACTAGTCCATGCTCCAATGCATCATCATCATCATCGTCATCAACACCTCCACTACCAGTAGCAGCAGAAACAATATCAATCTCATGTGTATGTTCTGAATTTACATCTGGTTGACAGCTATCAAGATTTATTATATTATCACAATCGACTAAGTTATTTGTCTGATTTTCAGTGAATACTGAATCTTGATTAGTCTGTACACTATTTGTAGGATTGACATCAATTGTAAGATTATTATAATTATTGCGATATGTAGAAATTTCAGGTACATTTTCATTTTGAGCGAAACCAGCTGCTAACCGTCGATGTGGCCAATTATGTCTTGTAGAACGCTTTTTAGTGGACAACTCTAAAGTTAGTACTGGCATTCGTACAAGATCGTACGGGCTTTTCGAATCCCGTAGAGCTGCGACTAAATTCACAACCTGTAATGAAATCAAATAAATATCTATGAATAAAGGTGATGAAATTCTAAGAATAAATTCATTGCTTAATGATAGCGATGGAACACATGAGATTAAATTCGCTATATTCAGAACTATCTAACTGGACACATACCTGTCGTTAGAATTATTATAAACATCTTATAACCTCCGTTTTTCTATGCAACACGAGGGTGATTGTTTCGAAATTCCAAACGTGAGCACTGCACTTGATTGTTCCAACTGCTGCATAGTTGCCATGCGGTTGTCGACATTCCGCAATAACTATCTTTGGGTTATCAGAGGGACGTGGTTATTTTTACTTCGAGAACATAAGTGGATATCAACATCTTTTATAGATTTCAGTCAACAGACAAAAAAAGACACAAATTTGTCGTCTGTATGAAATTACAACCGAAAATGTCCGCATTCTCCGCTAACAGTTACAAGTTTTGGGTTTCGTCAGCTTTATACATTGACATCGTGAATTTACAGAAACCAAAACTAGTGTCCAAAAATCTGGGACAACAAATTTACTGATTTTTTTATAATTATGATCACGTGGCCGGTATGGCAATACGAAATTTTTCATGTTTTCTGGTACCAAGTTTAAGTAGCAGTAGTCATATTTCTTATGCCTCAACTTGTTGAGTAAGGTCAACGCGGAACAAATTTTCATAACATTTGGATCAAGAATCAAAAGCAACTTCAAAAAATAGGACTAAAGAAAAATTACGACATATTATTAAAGATTTGTTCTGTTGGTAATGTAGTGTAGCGTATAGAAGGCTGACTCAATGCTGTAGCAGATAGAGGCTTCATGAAAGCTCCCGTTAACTTTATTTATTGTTAAAATGTTAATTTTCAGTGTTTCAAGTGACATTGCTTCTTAAATACCAGTTGTTACTTTTTACGAAGAAAATTGTTATAACGTGAAACGAAACTTGTACACTAAACGAGACTGACATAGCCCAAAATACATTGCAAGGGTGAACACATCTTCAATACTGTGTTCTGAATACTCTTAACCCAGTCTCTAAATATTGAGACAAAGCCTACCCTGTGACTGTGAATTATATATACTTTATCGGTAAAATAACTCTTTATGTAGGTTTTCCAGTAACCAGTGTCTACATTTAAATATTTATAAATCCCGACGAATTTTACACTGAAAAAATGTGAAGACTGAGTGGATAATCAGAATAGAGTAGAATAACATAGAAATAATAAACAACTGAAGTCATCAAAGTGTGACTGAATATTTAAAACTGATTGATGATAGAGTATTGACCAATATTATATTTATAAGCAAAGATGGATAGTGGCTAGCAGTGGAATCCAGGATGAGCGTTTCGTCCTACTTGGGACTCGTCAGTCCAATGTACCTACACCTCAGAGCTGATGTTCACTCTGAGACTAGTACCCGGTGCCAAGTGAACTCAATACTATATTTGTCTAGTTCTTTACTGATGATAGAATTCTATCAATCGATTGTGAATATTTCAGTCTTATAAGAGACTAATCGCAGTCAGAGTAGCTTAGTGGTGATATCTCAAGCTATGCAGCTGTGTGATGTTGATCCGGACTCCACACAGAACATCAGTTCCCGCCTTGCTAATGAATCCCAACTAGTATGAAACCTGGGTCTAGAAGGGTTTCCTGTCGACTACCTCCAGTAACCTAATTAGACGTGAAATCTAGCGGTTATAACATTCAATTAATCAGTAATTCTACTTCTGATAATCGCTTATCAGTGTATCACCATATGATTTTTCTGAAATTTTAGAACCATTTCAGCAGTCTACAAACTGGTGCAATTATATCTTTAGTGAATTGTCGACATATTGTGACAAAAAATCCCTTATAACTTCAAAATACATTTAAAATAAGCGTGCACGAACAAAGATTTTTGTAAATTACAGAAAACTACCAACAGTAACGCACATCCTTTTACTTGGAATAAACATTGACATTGTTTAAACAGACAGACCCTGTTCACTTCAAAAAATGTTTGTCGAAAAATGTGTTTTCAAAGGCTAATGACTGAAATAACAGCATAGACACGTAAATACTACTACTAGAACACCTAAAGTCTTAAATAAAATTGAATGATTGTGACATTTTTTTCTTCACAAAATTTCTGTCAATTAAAATAATGGAATAAGTTAATATAATGACAATTGACTCTGTCAATATCATGCTATTAAAATACAAAATACAAATGAGACTACCCAATTACCATACATGAATTATAAATATTTAAGATTCTGAATGGTTTGACAAAATATGCAACAACAGAAAAACTAATTTGTCAATAGAAAATGAAGTTTTTTTGAATGAAATAAAAAGTCAGTAGTTTTTAGCTGAACAGATTCCATAATCTTAATAATTATATTGCATGACAAAACAAAGAGAAGAGGAAGAAGACGAAGAATTGCACTCATAATTTAGCATTTTCCTATTCATATTATAACATAAGAGAAACAATGTTATAGAAATCTTCAGTTAACACAATTTATGGTGACTTTTACAAATTCAACTTAAACTGAACCACTAAATACAAATTTTAACAAATAATCAATCAACAGTTAACTAACCTGACCACGTAAAACGGACATTTGTTTATGAAAAGTAGATAAGTCGAAACCTGGATCCACCTAAAATGCATATTGAATTGAAGATGTATATGTAATAACAACCGAAAGTATATTACGGAAACAGAACTTTAGATTACATTAATAGTTGACAAATATTTAAATTACTAGAGTAAACTAAATAACATAAAATACTGAAATCATGAACCGACCAAGGTTAGGAAATCAATGAAAACCTGAAAGCATTGGGAGGACATTTCATCCCGATATGTGACTCCTCACCAGTGGGCATCTACGATCCCGAACGTGAGAATCAAACCCAAGACATTCAGTACAGCGGGCGAAAGCTTGACCTCTAGACCAATGAGTTGGCACTTAACGGTGTTAATGTCTAACTTCAATCCACAACATCGCACGACCATCTTTCATCGTCTTCGGTGGGTAAAGGCCTCACATCTGACACGAATTAGTAGCCACTGGTCACGAATTTTCACTAGAACTCTGAAAATTTCCTCTTGAATCTAATCACCAACGAGCATGTGGTGTATGCTACTTATGTTGACAGACATAAGTAGTATGTAACACCAATCAGAAGTGGGATGCTTGGGAGCAGAAGGTTGAAAAGACCGAATTGGAGAGAACAGGAATTTAAACAGAGTAATTTTAATAACAGCATGAATGAAGGAACTGTGAAGTTTTTAAAAGACAACTGATGGAAGATTTCCAAATGAGGTATTTAATGTATGGTTTTCCCCACCTGGTTCTCGTTCACTGCAATCACATAATTTTCAGTGTGGGGTTATAAAGATTGTTGAATTACATTGAGACCATGTACCGACCTAAGTAAGACCGTTATTGAAAACTTGGGAGCACTGGACGGCCGTTTTATCCTAGAATGATCGTAGATGCGCACTGCTGAGGAGTCCCAAGTAAACTAAATTTAAAAAATATATTTTTTAATACCCTGTCAAAAATTTTTTAATGAACTTACAAAGATCCGAGAATAATAATTATCAAACGAAATTATTTACCAGTGACAACGCCGTTTTGTTCCATGCTAAAATATAATCAAAGCTTCATTACATCTACATTTGTAACAACAGCTTGTACCACCAGGTGTACAAGTAAATATCTAACTGCCTATTGGAGAGCAAGAATACTGAACAATAATTTAACGTTTACTGTTTTAAGTACCTACAACACAGTTTTATCTGGGTGGAATACATGCATCAGTTGGAGGAATTCAATTACAGCTATCATTGAAGTATTTCGTGAATACAATGAGACTATCAAGAGAGTTAGATTGATATCAGGCATACAGTACAGTAACAAAGGTGAAAATATATTGATGAAATCGTGAACTTGCATAAACTAAAGAGGATTACAATATGATGTGCATGTCTAACCATCGGCTAGCTTAGTGGATTATGCTCATTAACGAAGGAAAATATTGGAAAAGTGAGACAGCACAGTATGAAAAGAGTTAACTCCATTGAGGCAATGACTGATTTTTCTAGTCATATAAAAAGCTGCATATTTGTTGGTCGAGTTTGAAAAGGAAACTACAACCAATGGTTAGAAACTACGAAAAAAAACTCATTAAGACTGGTTGTTCAGTCTGTTTATTTCTTTATTACCAGTAATAAATATTCGAGTTTTACATATCCTCTATTATAATGACTTGTTACACTCTTTTGCTTTTTATCCTGTTAATTTTCCGACATTCTATTGGCTTTAGGTGTAACAACTTGAATCAAAATACACTTATCCCAGACTCAATATCGAGTGAATAACCTACAATTTCTTATTCAATTATTTTATGATTTTTAAAACTCGTTTGAAATAAACTTGATTCATCATCTGTATTTTACTTATACTGTTAAGTTCAAATGATAGAATTAGGTATATATTTTAACGTAGTGATATCTATTAACTTCATATACAACGGAAATGACACCTACATGTCATAATAATAACAATAACAATAATAATAATAATAGTCAGTAGCGTCCTACGAACTATTTAAATTATTAATCTTATCAGGAAATCGCAATGTACTTAACATGATATGCATTTAATAAAGTGCAGTTGTCAGTAATCAATAACATGTTGACTAGTCACCTGCCACCTAGAGTTAATCTAATTCCAATAAGGTCGCTAAGTTTATTCACTGAAAATTACGGTGGATTGAAATTTTATCCTCAATGGCATTTATTAGATAAGTGCGTTGAGAATCGTCGAAGGGTAATCAAAGTTAAACGTAAAATCGATAAGTCATTGAGTGACTATTTTGCAATTACGTCACGATGACGTTCAATGAAGCATTATTATCAGGATCACAAGAGTAGCTCAGTGACTAAGGTGTACGACTTTTAGCGCCCAATTCCAAAGTTCGAACCCTGCCCCACATATATCAATTCGCGCAGCCGGATATCACCAGTTTTCACACTCGTATTATGACTTGAAGTCAACTATACGAATCTGTACGTGGTAAATGAGTTGATAGATCAATATTATCAATATGAAAGTTTGGGAATTCGCATTCACCTAATTGATACTCATTCTCACATCTGGATAATCAATGATTTAAGAATAATAATAAATATAATATAATGATGATAATAATAATGTGTGATACATGTATATGTTATATTCGGACGAAGAACAGGTGAGTAGTAACCGCTGGGATCTATTTGTGGACCACCATTATACATATTCTTATTGTATAACTATTAAGTAACTATATCGTATGTATGTTCATATTCCTCTTATTATAAGCTTCCATTTGACCGGTTGACCACTACTATACGACTTACTATCCTTAAGTTATTCTGAATTTATTAGCTACAGTATCTCACAATCACAGCCACTTTTCGGCCTGATCTTGTATAATTATTATTTTCTATTTTATGGTATGATGTGGTCTGATTTGTTTGTATATAAACCAAGTATGACTGAAATATATGATTCGTATAGGGGAAGCTGATATTGGTGTTCCGAACCAAACCGGATATGTTAGGCTGCTATCTTAGTGGACCAATAAGAACTCAGAGTTGACTCTGGACTGTTTGTACTGGTTTATGCGTCATTGGTCTGGTCAGTAATTCGGTGTTCTAATTGGCAATCGTATCACGTGACGATTAACAAGCCATCAGTCAGTCAGTCAGCTACAACGTAGGACCAGGTACATACATGCATCGGTTCAAATTGCCATACCGTATTGGCACAACAAGATGAACACCGAATTCATAGAAATAATTAATTCAATGGTGGTAATACATAGAAGAAAGATTGCACATAAGGATATAGTACAGGAAGAAAGGATTAGTTCGTAGAAACAAAGGTGTAAAGCGATTTTAGTCTCATAGTTTGAGGGAAGACAAAAAGTGTATACACCGACGCCATTGTGATCGATTCAGAGCCATGTCACCAAGAGTCTCCAACCATTGGTTACGATAGTCGCGCGGACCCCAACCAAGTAGTCTGCATCTACCAACATGGCTCAGACTACAAGTTAGTGACTTCAAAGACTGATGCCACGTTTTGGTTTGGCTGCCCCCTTCCAACCATCCTCAACCTTAGTCAGCATTGCGCGTCATGGTAATCGGTGTTCAGGCATACGCAACACGTGGCCCAACCATCTCGGTCGATGAAGATTTACAACCTCATCAACTGATTTACCATCATTCCTTAACACCTTGCGTCTAACCTCACTATTACTTACCCGGTGATCCCAGCAGATGCGAGTAATATTACTAAGACATCTGTAATCAAATACTAGTAGCTTACGAATATCTCTACTCCTAATGGCCTCTTTCTTGCAAATACTAACTTTAAGCATAAGGAAAAACATCTTTTAACATGGCGACCCCCTAATTCGTCCCAACGTTGGACCCAAATAGATCACATCGCTATCAGCCACCGATGGAGGGGCTCGATAGAAGACTGTCGCTCATTCTGGAGCACATGCTTAGATTCAGATCATGCTCTAGTGCGAGCGCGTATCTGCCTGCGTCTTACTGGACGTAGGAAAGACGCTGCAAGGAAACCTCTTAGGGCCTACTTAATGATAGTCAAGCTAAGAGTATATTTCAGGAACAACTAGGAAAACAGTTAGGCAGCCATGTATGTGATGCCCACCCCGAGGCAGCATGGAATGATATCCGAAAAGCTGTGGAAACAGCAGTGATATCTGCTAGTAAGGTAAACCGGAAGGTTAGGGAGCAACACTGGATCTCAGCAGCATCTATCGCACTGATAGATGCTCGGAAACTCATTCCACCTGGCTCTGAACATAATGAAGAGCGGAGTCAGCTTAAGCGCAAGCTGACAAGAAGTCTACGCAATGATCGCGAACAGTGGTGGGTAGCGAAAGCAAGAGAGATGGAAAAGGCAGCGGCAATAGGTAATAGCAGACAATTGTTCAGACTCGTTAAGGAAACCGGAATTAGGAACCCGACTGTTAGCGAAACAATCTCAGAGAAAGATGGACATATTATACATTCTCAATCCAGGAGATTGGATCGATGGGCAGAACACTTTAGGGATCAGTTCAACTGGCCTTCAGCCACACTTCGGTTTCCCACGATCTCCAGTCAACCTGAATGGCAAGTTAATGTAGGTCCTCCGTCTCTTTACGAAGTTGAAAAAGCCATAGGAAATCTGAAACGAGGGAGAGCAGCAGGCCCTGACAGGTTTACTCCTGAGATTTTTAAGGATGGTGGTCCAGTATTAGCAATGAGATTAACTGAGGTCTTAGGTAGAATTTGGGAACTGGACGTAATCCCATCTGACTGGTCTCAATCACTGATTGTGCCAGTCTATAAGAAAGGACAAAAGTCCTCTTGTGACAATCACAGAGGAATCAGTTTGACTAATATAGTGTCTAAAATATTAGCTTCAATAATACTTCGACGCCTAACTAAAGCTCGTGAAGAGCAGACTAGAGAAAACCAGGCTGGTTTTCGACCTGGACGTGGTTGTATAGATCAGATATTCACACTACGTCAGGTTCTAGAACACAGACACACATTCAGACGCCCCACAATGGTAGTATTTCTCGACCTTAAGGCGGCATTCGACTCTGTTGATCGTGAGGTTCTATGGCAGTGTTTGTCACTGAAAGGAGTACCAAAGAAGTACATTAACCTTATAAAGGCTCTCTACTCGAACACAACTGGTAGAGTGAGAGCTTATGGCGAACTGTCATCAGAATTGATTACCTCAAGTGGTGTTCGTCAGGGCTGTCCACTCTCCCCATTCTTGTTCAACTTTGTCATTGACGTACTTTTAGAGATAACACTCTCCTCATCTAAATTTCCAGGGGTTGAACTTCTACCGGGAGGTTCACTTGTTGACTTAGAATATGCTGATGACATAGTTTTATTTGGTGAAGACGCTGACAAAATGCAGAGTCTTCTGACCACTCTAAGCAACAATGCAAGCATGTTCGGGATGCGATTCTCTCCCTCGAAATGCAAAATGTTGCTTCAGGATTGGGTTACATCGACACCCGAACTAGTGATAGGGAGTGAAGTAGTTGAGCGTGTCGACCGCTTCACTTATCTTGGAAGTCTCATCAGCCCTTGTGGTCTGGTGTGTGACGAAATCTCAGCACGGATACAGAAGGCTCGACTAGCTTTTGCCAACTTGCGTCATTTATGGCGTAGGCGAGATATCCGTCTATCAACCAAAGGACGGTTTACTGCGCAGCAGTTCGTTCCGTCCTACTTTATGGCAGTGAAACATGGCCGGTAAGAGTAGAGGATATTCGTAGGTTACTAGTATTTGATCATAGGTGTCTTCGAAACATTGCTCGTATATCATGGGACCATCGAGTAAGTAACGCAGTTGTTAGGAAACGGGTACTAGGTAAGGATGGCAAATCAATTGATGAAGTAGTGAAACTTCATCAGTTGAGATGGCTGGGACACGTGTTACGTATGCCCAACGACCGACTGCCTCGACGTGCGATGTTCAGTGGTATAGGAGTAGGTTGGAAGAAAGCTAGGGGCGGCCAGACCAAAACATGGCACAAGTCCATGAAGTCACTGACAAGTGGGTGCAGACTACCTGGTTGGGGACCGCGAGATGATAGCAACCGATGGTTAGAGACCCTGAATGACATGGCTCAAAATCGTTTGCAATGGCGCAGGTGCATACACTCTTTGTGTTCTCCCAAATTTTGATCTGATTCCTCCTAGTCTCTTTTTTCTCTTCCCAAATTTATTTCACCGTATTATACTCTTTAAATAACATCTCCAAACACTAATCTTTCCGATTACTGCTTATACTCTTACTACCTCTACCACTACGGGATTTGAATCGACCACTGCATCTCTGTGCTAATGTGGTGTGGCAACTCGAACTGATGTACGTACGTACGAAGTTCTACGTTGTTACTGACTGACTGACTGAATGGCTACGTTTCACAGCCGTAAAATAGAACAGAACGAACTGCTGGGCAGTATCCTCGTCCCTTAATTGATATACGAATATCTCGCCTTCGCCATAGGTAACGTAAGTAGGCAAAAGCCAAACGAACTTTTCGAATCCGTGCTGAGATTTAGTCAGACACCAACCCATTAGGGCTGATCAACTTCAAGATAAGTGAAGTTGTTGACGCGTTCGACTACTTCACTCCCTATCCTTAGTGCAGGTGTTGACGCAGGCCAGTCCTAAACTAACTATTTGCATTTTAGAGGAGGAGAAGCGCATCCCAAACATTCTGGCATTGTTGATCAATGCTACCAAAACACTCTGCATTTTATGAGCGTCTTCACCAAACAGGACTATATCATGTGTATTCTAAGTCCATAGTGGACCTCCTGGTAGGAGATCGATGCCGGAAAACCCAGTAGACGAGAGTGTTATCTCCATCAGTAGGTTTATGATGAAGTTAAACAGACGTGGAGATAGTGGACAGTCTTGATGAACACTACTCGAGATCGCAAAAGCAGATGACAGTTCGCCAAAAGCTCTGACTCGACTAGTAGTATTCGAGTAAAGAGCCCTCACAAGGTTTATGTACTTCTGAGGTACACCTTTCAATGACAGACACTGCTATAGAACCTCTCGGTCTACAGAGTCAAATGCTGCTTTTAAGTCAAGAAAGACCACCATTGTCGGAGACCGATAAGCATGCCTATGTCCTAGAACCTGACGAATGCTGAATATGTGGTCGATGCAGTCACGATCAGGCCTGAAACCAACCTGATTTTCTCGTGTTTGCAGTTCACAATTCTTTGTTAGGCATCCGATAATTATTGAGGCTAGTATTTTAGATGCTATATTGGTAAAAATAGTCCTCGATGGTTATCACAGGATGATTTTGACCCCTTCTTATATATTTGGACAATCAGCGACTGTGACCAGTCAGATGGGATTACGGTTTGTCTTAAAGCCATAAGAACATTACAATGGGCGACCGGGGTTTTGAGAAAAAATAAGAATATAAGAACATGACTCAAACCGCAAATTAGATTAATATAGAAAAGAATAAAGACAATAAGCGTATCAGGGATAAACGCAACTGCTTTTTGACTACTTTGTACTAAATCTGAACAAATTTAACAATATTCCAGCAAAATTTTTACATTCCCTAAGCATCAACGCAGTACAAACAGCGTATTATTAAGTTAACAAGGTCATAAATCTTTCCCTAATACTTGACTAGTTGTCAGAAAAAAAAGTAAACAAGTGTTTTGTAAAGTTTTCTTAATTAAATCATCACTTCAAATTATGAATTGAAAAACACAGAATTTAATGCAACACTATAATCGTGAATAATCAGTAACTAAGATCGTTTTTCCTGAGGACACCTTACAAAACTATTGACTGCAAAACTATAAGATGTTTTTTTTTTCGAAGAAAAGAGAGGCCTTAAACAAATAAAAATGTCCCTTTCTCCTACTGTAATAGCATTAGACCATTTGAATGTATGTATATTCAATTTAATCCAAGAAACAATCAGTTTTATAGGCCAGAAAAGAAAAATAAGTATTTTAACAAAAACGGTCTCATTAGTACTTTGAAAAAAGCACCCGATTATTATCAACTCATATCTAACATACTAATAAGCAGAGATGCTCATTTATTCGGAAAACAATAAACAGAGCAAAACCTTTAATATATAGTACTGAAAAAGTTTTGATCAAAAAAAGACACAAAACCTCTTTAAATGAAAATATATTCTAAATTCTGTACTGACAAATATTCTTAAAATAGAATAGAAAAAACCAACTTATGTCAGATGATTTATGTGTACCTACTTTCAGCCATAACATATCGTCAATGTAAACTGATTAACTAGTTCATTAATTGCAAAAGGAATTTATGTCAATAAATCTATGAAAAGGATTATCAATCAATAAATATGATAGAGAATAAAATAACCTACTTTGAACAAATTATGAAGATCACGAACTAGACTATTGATGAAGTGCATGTCAGATAATAATGGAAGAACAGCTTCTTTAATCGCATTTGAAAATGGCTCTTTAGCGATAGGAAGCCAAGCCCAATAAAAAGGATCTGCATTTTTTTAAAAAATACAATAGGACGATCTTTTACATTATATTCACAGGGATAAAATAGGAAAAAGTGAGAACAACGATTTATAGAATCATTTATCAGAAAATGGAGATGTTTCAGATCTGATTTCGGATTCTTAGGATGAATCCAAATAGTAAGTACGAGAAAAATAATTAACGAGGAATATCTAATAAACAACCATCAGTATGTATTTGGTCTTGAAACTAGTGATACTATATGTTTAATAATCTATGATAAATTTTTTTAAAACCAGTAGGAACTTTTGCATAGAAATGTCTGTAAACTCTAATCAATTATTTTATTGATCGGACAAATTCAGTACAATCCGATTAACAAATTATGTTACCTATAAAAATTTGGGATAATCCAACTTCCAATCAAATATCTTTCCTGAACTATATACGTCAGAGTCAAAAGAGTTTAGGAAAATCCAAAAATGTAGCTGCCGAGACAAATTTTAAAAGAAACTGTGATAAGCAATAATAAGCCACTGTACAACACTATGAAGACAAATCGTTTTGGCACTTTTTAAATGTGATATTGGAATATATATATATATATAGACATTAGAGAACCCTTCAATTCGCTAGACAGAACTGAAGTGTTTAACTGTTTGTTAGATAGAAGTTTGTTTGAACGTTCCATACTCAAATATTTCATATTGAACCAAAACTCCCAGTAACTTCTCGACTAGTTTTGAACAAGGAATGGATGCACGACACATTGCAGAATTTTGGCACTCATAAATATTTTCGTCATATATGGGAATTCTGGAGACAAGCTTAATGAAAATAGATGGTGAAATAAATATGAAAAAAGATTTCCAGTATAAGAACTACATCTTTCTCCCATATTATACTGTAAATGTGACATCTACCTCGTATCATCGGAAAGAAGTACACTTTTATAAGAATGATATGAACCTATAGCTCCTCTCTCATTTGGTGACAGAAATTTAGAAATACTTACAACTTTGCATATCTGCGTATCTCTGTTAGATGTAATTGATTCTTGGTAAATGAAAGCTAGAGCTGTATTTGCCAAGCTGAATCACCTTTAACACAGTTGAGATATTAATCTAGCCTTAGAACTTTGGATATTCAATCATTTGGTCGAGGCAGTTTTCTACTACATCTAAGGAACTTATCAATACCAAGCTCATTGTGTTTAGCAGCTTACTGTGCCCAGTCACCACTGCCCCTGAAATTACCAGCTTTAGTGGGGTAACAGCACTAAGTAATCCTACAAGCTTTGGCTTACGTAGCTTAAACTAATTTTAGGTCAATCGCTTCAATGGCTATCCTACTAACTAGCGTGTGCCCCCGTCTGTACGGATCCAAAGGATTAAAGTGGTTAGTTTATGATATACAATTTCGTAGTATAGGGGATAGTTGTGTTAGATCAAATCCTAATTCAGTATTGAAAAAAGTTAGCAAGAATTAGCTGCTCATCATATATAAAAAAAAATTATTTGGAAACTCTATTTTCTAAGGGGTTTATTCATTTTGTTTTACTTAGGGTATGAACCTAATTTATACACACTAATGGTGAAATGAATAGGACTACAATCCCTTGAATTCAACTGAAAAGTAAAATTTCAATCGAACACCGAATATATCTACATCATCTACTAATTAAAACACTAACCATCAATTGTGAAAACATCTAGGTTGAACTTACATGCTCTCCATTCATCTGGGTGTTTGAACGGAAAAGACAAACCGTTATCGATTGCAAATAATTCTATTTTTGGCATATCAACAACACCCCAATCATCTTTATTGGTCTAAATCAAAAGAGAGACATGTAATTTGTAATCAGAGAAAATTTATTAACCTTAAAATAAGGCTGAGTAAGTCTAGTATTCGCAGTCATACAGTTATCAATAACGAAGTATAGACTCATGTAGCTGGTTTTGAGCCAGTTGGTATACGATAACTAAAAAATATCATTTATCTGTTTAAATCGATATATGTGAAGTAGAATAAATGCAACCAGAAAACTCTCCTTGAAACTAGATGATAAAGAGCAAGACGCAGTAAGAACAGCTAACCACTAGCATAAGTGAGGATTCCAAGAAAAAACAGCGTATAACGTGAGGCGAAAGTGAGACTTAAAAGGACACCTCATTTCTTTAAAAATATGGCAACCACTTCGGGGGGGGAATGCTTTGTTTTCACAAATAAACACAAAACAAACTATCATACAGTATCAATAAATCTGGTTAAGTATAATTCGTAAACAAGAAATGAACCTCATGCTACAATGAATTCACCTCATCTGTATCTTCCTTCAGTTCTGAACTTTGATAACGAATAAGCCAATTATCATTCCACGATCTAAAAGAGAATAACTAGGTAAGATTTTATTTATTTTTAACCCAGTCAATAATACGAAATAAACATTCCTTACGCACACTATCTATAAACACATAACACACTCCTACAGTTATGCGATACACAACTGCAGCCTTAATATGAGTACCACAATTTGTACACAATTTATCAATAGTAACTCGGACCTCAGCATGATAGTGCATGTATTGTTGAGTAGTTAAAAATGATGGTTGGGAGTCTTGAAACTTGTTGTTAGTTGTACTAATACCTGGTACACCAGAGTTCCTAGTATGTTATTTAGCTTGTAAAGTCTAATGCTGTAAGAAAATAAAATCAGCATGTATTTTCTATCATTAACTTTCCGAACCAACTAGGACTACATGTCGAATTATTAGTAAGTGTTTCGAAAATCACTTGAACAAGTTTTTGAACTCTATTGCATATGAACTAAACAAGATGACTAAGAAGAATAATGAATTTCCACCAGGAAAATCGGTTGTTATCAAAACATTTCACCAATTTACGTATACTCCAAAAGAAATACATAATTATCAAGCATATCGATGTACTGTTTTTGACCCTAAACAGTAGTTGTTAAATCAAATAATGGCCTTTTCTATCTCTGAATTTAGTAATGACTTGGAACAAGTCATTGAAAAATGTGAAAACTACTATTGATTTGTCAGAATCGAATTCTGATGTTCTTCAGATGTTTTTTGAATTAATCAGTCAATCTGTTACAGTAATGTATCGGATTCGTTTACTAATAAGATTACATTTGCATGGCCTAAGTTTCTGAAGTAAGAATGTACTCTTTTAGTAACAATTATCCTTGAAATAACTTAAAATCTAATTGGTAGACGCATGGGTGGAACAGTGCATAAATGTATATTACCTAGGATCTAATCAAAGTGAACTTGCCACCTAGTTACTTAGTGCTAATCCAGCAACTTTAAATCCATACTTGATCTTCAAGTGATCAGAAAACAAGTTGAATTGATTTGTCATATTGGTCAATGAGATCTTATCTGGAAATTGTATGTAAGCAATACGTAACAATCTGAATGGGATTCAGCTTTTCAAGCAACCTCATACCAAGAGCATTCTTTTGAAAACCTTTCAGATTTTATCCGACGAAAACTCTAGGTGAAACCTTGAATTCATCCATTAAACTTCGACTGCATATAATAAAATCCTAACGTATAGGAAGAATTGGTTTCTTAGTAACCAATTAATATGCTTCAAGTTACTGGGAAAAAGCTGTGGATTGGTCATTGGAGACGACAACCGAATATAAAAGTATTAAGGAATATCACTTTTGTACATGCTTTTTCTGCATTATTGCAACCTTGGATGTCATAGATAAATATAGGTTGAAATCGAGTCAATTGGTCAGTCACAGAATTCGGTATATGTTGGCCCAAGTCGCCGTATTATATCGCCAGAGAAAGATAAAATTAACATGACGAATAACATAGGATCTGAAATAATAGTACTATCAACGACGGTGAACAAGATTAAACATTGAAGAATATGAATTAAGAGAAATAAATTTAATTGATAAAAACATCTTGTCGAAATACAACCTGACGTGATTATTGTATACCTGTATTCCGAATTAGATAATCAAGTATAACAAGTTTTTCAAACTGAAATCGGAATTCTGAAGCTGTAGGCTTAGGAAGTGATTCATTATCGAAATGACGAAGCCAATAGTCAGCATCTCGACAACCAGAAACAAAAAGCTGGAAAGATCCAATCTAGTGAAAAAAGCAAATGTCTGATAGCAAAAAGAAAGCAATAAAATTTGAATAATCCTACTATAATAGTTAGAAGCAATGTAATTCCACCTCTATATCTACTAACAAAGATTTACTAGCCAATAATTACTGCTTTTCAACGACTGATTCCCAACCAAAAATCCTCTGACAAATGGCTATTTGATTTCCTAAACTATCTAAATATGAATAAATACTTTCAAGGTATTGAACATGCATATGGAAACGTTTAATCAAAAGTAGATGCAGGTGCATAAAAAATAGCTACTAGATAGGTACATTATCAACAAAAACAATAAACTTTACGTCACGGACAAATAAAAATGAATGAGAAATCAAAAAGAAAAAAGTGAAAGGTGGAAACTACTTGCTAAATATCTGTTCTATTAATAAGATATTCAACCACACATACAAGGGTATAAATCAATTTGAATTCACGGTTCTTTAGCCCATAAAATCTGTGCATACACAAGAAAAGCAACGACTCAGTCATATTCAGTTTACCAGATGGAGTTCGTCAAATTTACATACAAATCGGCATCTGAATAATCAGTATACATGTTTAGAAGCAAACACATAGCTTATCCAGTGGAACAAAGGCAAATTCTCAAGACGGCATTACTTTTGATGGTAATTAAAATATGTAAATGCAGATAAAATGTATTATTGTTTGCAATAAAGCCAGGTCATAAAAGCACTGATTACAACCCATTAAAAAACAGGGATCAATTCATTTAAATTATGATATAATCAGTCAAACAAAAGGAAATGGTTAAACATACTCAAATAAATATATAAGATAAATTAATATTACTAGCTCACAGTATATCAAAAACTATCCACAATGCACTACTATTGACAATAAAAATCAGAATAAATTAATCGATCTGATACCTTTTAAACAAATGGTTCCGCAAGTGCTTGTTAAAATATCAACTTCAATAAACCCTTAAAAGTGATTACGTATCGTCACTATTATCTCACAAGTCCATACCAAACATTCACTTTACATTTCCAGTCAATACACTCACAAACTTAGTCACCGGCCAATATTAGTTGTGGAATATGTTATTTATTTATTTAAATACATAAATATTGGTACAAAAGGGAGCAAAATATATATGCACCACACAAAACAATGAGAATTCGAAGAGAAAAAAAAGAAGATAAAGAGAGCAAAAAGGGAAGAGAACTAAAACGACCAGATTAGTATAAGGTAGTGTAATAATAATAATAGTAATGATGTGGGAGACGGAAAGGTAAAATCAGAAGAAATCTTACAGTTAAGGAAGAAACAACCATTTTCTGAAGAAAGTAAAAGAAGGTTACGGTAAGATCGTCAATGGCTTCTATTCTGAGCCATATCTGATAACGTCTCTAGCCACTGTGTTACACTATCTCTCGGACCCCAGCCAGGGAGTCGTGAAGGACCAACACAAACCAGTCTTTTGCAGCTTTCTTCATACCAAGACACCATGTCATACACAGACCACCTCTCCGCTTTTTCCAAACAGTCCCAACGTCGGGCAAATAATGCACGACGTGGAATTCTCTGGGACGCCATTCGTAGAACATGCCCAAGACAACGAAGTCGGTGTCTCAAGATGATGACACCAATTGCATTATCATCTCTCCGCCCGAACACATTATGCCCAACCTCTGCATCATTAACATAGTGTTGCCCGTGGATATCAGCAATCCTTCGTAGACAGCGATGATCAAACACAGAGAGTCGTGCATTGATCTCATTACTTGCGCCACCACCAGCACTCATACAGCTACCCAGATACACGAACTTCTCGACTACTTCTATCTGCTCACCATCCAGGGTGAGTACAGGATTAGAATCCTGCCAGTCTTGTAGAAGTACTTTGCACTCCGAAGGTGCGAAACACATACCATACCTACGGACACTGATTGCCAACTGATCAAGTGCGGATTGCATGACTTGGGTATTATCGCACAATAAGACAATATCATCCACACACTCAAGGTCGAAAAGTCTTTCTCCAAGCAACGAATCCACACCGCCATTACTTACATCCATCAGAGCTGTTTCCAGAATATCATCGATGGCAAAGTTGAAGAGGAATGGTGAGATTGGGCAACCCTGTCTAACCCCACTGCTTGGATGGAACAATGGAAGGAGGTGGTTGTATGCCCTCACTCCGCCTGAGGTGTTTGTATATAGGGCATTTAGGATGTTAATAAACTTCTCTCCTAACACCCAAACCTTTGTAAACAACGTCGTCAATTCCTTAGTCAGAGAGTCACCACCATCTTTAAAAAGAGCCGGAGGTAAGTCATTTGGGTCAGGTGATTTGTAACGCTTGAAGAGTTGGAGTTCCTAGCGGACTTCCGCCTCATTTGGTGGATCAGCTGTCACCGGCCATGGAGAGCAGGACAGTCTGACCGATGTTGCCGGAGCAGCAGACCAGTTGAACTGCCCTTCGAAGAATTCTGCCAATCGTCCAAGACGTCGATGGATGTTAGTGATTGGCATCCCGTCATCCTCACAGATTGTTTCGCTCACACCAGACTTCTTGCTGCCAGTGGCTCGGATGAGTTGGAAGAGCTTCCGGTAGTTGCCAGATGCAGCTGCTGCTTCCAGCTCATTAGCACGCTCCGACCACCAGGTTTTTCGGTCGACATTAAGACTTTCCAAAGACATAACCAGCCCTATCTGTTGTCTGACCTGCATAAGTGTGCGAACGTTGAAGGCAGCCAGTTTGAATGGTGCACGTGGTTTTAGAAAAACTGCTTCAGTATTCGTATTCGGTGGTAGCACACAATTTTTAACCAGGCAATGACTCGAGAACGTTTAGATAGAACCGAGTTTCCACCATAGGCGAGCTGCTGTATGATTCGAAAAATAAAGATAGAGGAAGTGGGAATAAAAGAGAGTGGATAAATGACGTAGTAAATAATACTAATAATGTGAATTATTTGTCTGTAAATCAAAGCGAGAATATAATTTTTAGGAAATATAGTCATTCTCATTTTATTTGTGTGTGGGCTGTGATACTGCCCGGGCGCCCAGACCGAAGCGGGTGGTTTTCTTAGGGGACTACACTCCAAGCCTTTGTCCTAAAGGTCTGACCTACAAGGCAGTGGGGCATCGTGAGGAGATGCAGTCCCATGGTAGCCAGTGACCAACGATCGGTTCATACGCCATTTTTTTCCGCAGGATACTGGAGCTCATGTGCACCATTGGTTTGGGATCCGGTTAAAGCGCCGGACATATGCATGCAAATAGTTAAGGCGTATATAATCGTTAGCTGGATATAGATTGGATTAAAGCACGTGCCGTGCAGGATTGTGTTGGACCAAGCTACAAACCACAAGACCCAGGTGACTTACTTACGACCCTTTTTAAACATAGTAGGGACCTTCTGGTTAAGGGACTGACTGAGTTGTTTACAAAGATTTGGGAACTAGAGACTGTTCCAACATCCCGGAATCAGTCGATAGTTGTCCCTATCTTTAAAAAGGGTTCACGTTGTTCCTGTAACAACTATCGGGGATAAGTCTACTTTCGATTGCGTCCAAACTATTTGCTCCCACCATACTTTGTTGATTATTCAAAACCCGAGAAAGATTGACTCGCGAGGAGCAGGCTGGTTTTCGTTCTGGTCGAGGATGTATTGATCATATCTTCACCCTCCGCCAAATGTTAGAACACCGTCATACTTATCAAAGGCCAACAATCGTAATGTTTCTTTACATCAAGGTTGCCTTCGATTCGTTGAACAGGACTGCTCTTTGGGATTGTCTGTTGAAGAAGGGTGTGTCTGAGAAGTTTATTAACATCCTAAATGCCCTATATACAAACACCTCAGGCGGAGTGAGGGCATACAACCACCTCCTTCCATTGTTCCATCCAAGCAGTGGGGTTAGACAGGGTTGCCCAATCTCACCATTCCTCTTCAACTTTGCCATCGATGATATTCTGGAAACAGCTCTGATGGATGTAAGTAATGGCGGTGTGGATTCGTTGCTTGGAGAAAGACTTTTCGACCTTGAGTGTGTGGATGATATTGTCTTATTGTGCGATAATACCCAAGTCATGCAATCCGCACTTGATCAGTTGGCAATCAGTGTCCGTAGGTATGGTATGTGTTTCGCACCTTCGGAGTGCAAAGTACTTCTACAAGACTGGCAGGATTCTAATCCTGTACTCACCCTGGATGGTGAGCAGATAGAAGTAGTCGAGAAGTTCGTGTATCTGGGTAGCTGTATGAGTGCTGGTGGGGGTGTGAGTGATAAGATCAATTCATGTATAGTGAAAGCCAGTGCGGCTTATGCCAATTTGGGCCACCTTTGGCGGCTTCGTGGTATTAGTCTGACTGTAAAAGGTTGGATCCACAACGCTGTGGTGAGAGCAGTTTTGCCTATGTTTGTGAAACTTGACTCTCCGAGTTGAGGATGTTAGACGACTCTCTGTGTTTGATCATCGTTGTCTCAGAAGGATTGCTGACATCCAGTGGCAACACATGTTATCAGACATGGCTCAGAATAGAAGCCAGTGGCAATATTGCTGTAACTTTCACTTTCTTCATAAAAGTGAAAGTAACTTTTCTAACTGGAAGAATTCTTTCTGGTTGTATTTTTCCTAACTGAACTGTTTCTCCTTTTGTTATTATTTCACTCTCATACACTAATTTCTGTTCTTGTTGTTCTTTTTATTATACGCACTTTACACTCTCTGTCTCTTCACAACCTCAATGTTATTGTGTGGTGCATATGTATTCGGTGCCCCCTTGTACCAATGTGTGTTCAAATATATAATAAATACAACGTGCTGATTAGTCACTTCTTACCCAATCAGTGCCAGAGGAAAATTGGAGTAGACTCTAGGATCTTTTCTTGTAAAACTATGAATATACTGACGTGTTTTTTACCGTAAATCTTACTCCCATTTAACCTTGTTCATTTGGAATATAACTACGTTCCTATTCAATCGCGTTCTGAATGGGGAACTAGTCGAGTGAAGTAGTGTCCGAAGAATACTAAGCAATAAGAACAGATGGGTTATAATAAGAGAGGTCCTAAAAATAACATTGTTGTGGCAGTGAACTTGACTAATAAACGATGAACATTGTATATTCCTAAGGGTTAAAGTAAGCGTTTGGTTAATTTTATCGAAGACAATTTAAAATTAAAAATCTGAAATCTACGATCAAGATAATAGCACATACTGATAGTCAGTAAAATGCTCTGGAAAACAAGTTGATTTATTTCTGGAAGTGAACATTTACCACACTTGCAAGTAGCCAACTCAATTTTCAATTGAATGTCTTACGGACAGACAGAAAGAACTATCATGTATGCTACAGGCACATGTTGTTTAGCTTCAGTTAAATGTCCATTAAGCCCTTACATAAGAATTATCACGAACATGAGAGCTTGGGGACGAATGGTTCCCCACAATATGAACAAGGTATAAATAGATAAAATATACAACTGACACACAACCACTACCAAAAATCCCAATTAAATTCTAGTAAGTACTTAAATTTTGATAAATATGTCCATATTCAAGAAGATATAGTTCATAAGACAATTTGAGCATATGGAACAAAAGTTTAAAACGTAATGAGTAACGTAATTGAAAAACTACAGTGTTCTGCAACCAAACAGCTGATGGCTACCCTAAAATTGATGTCATAGTTCCTGTCTTTAAATGTAAAAAGAAAGTTAGATGAAAAAGATCATAATGATCCACTACGGTATAACAAAATGGTGAGTGAAGTAGTCTTATTTTCAAAATGAAAAGAGAGAATGCGAATTTGAAGGATTCACAAACTCAGCTAGAAAAATATGATGAGTTATTTGAAATAAAACCAAGATATTAAAATTAACCAGGTTTATTCTATTTCCTCATTAGTTATCGCCAGATACTTCTTGTTGATTGGATTTGTTCATAGGCGCGAACTCGTAAGTTATTGGAAATCACAATTTTTTAAGAAAAAATGTTCCTCTTAATTGTACTACCTCCTGATACAAGACGTGAAGGATTATGGAATAAAAACAGCAATCCACCAGACTTAAAGCGCGACACTAAATCCTAGTTCAAGCGATAACAATTAATATCACATCTATCAAAAGATGAGATTTTGGAATTAATAATTTTTTCATTCACATATTCATTTTGACGTATCAAGAGAAACTTACTTTTGGAGGAAGCCCAAGACGGTTGAAATGACGACCTAACTCGGGGAATCGTGAAGCAAAGTGTTGTTTAGTCCTAGATTTTGCGCGATCAACTGTGCTGTAGTTGAAACTTTCGCTTACTAAACGAACAACCTAGAATAGAAAAATGAAGCTACGAACTAGGTGTTATCAACAATTTTACACATAATGGAATCCACTTGAAAAGTCATTAATCTAATACTATAAAAAATGAAAAATATCAAGGTATAAGGCCAAATAATATCTTCTTAGCTTAAGAAAGTCACTACGGTCTAACATCTTGGCGAAAAATTTTCCATAACAGGGATAAACGGCTAATGTTGAATTAAATTCTTAGACACCATCAATATTCTCGACTACCAAAACATGGCATCAGTCCATGAAGTCATTGACAATTGAACCTAGCCATGTTAATAGGTGTAGACTAGCTGGTTTGGGTCTGTGTGATTATTATAACCAATGGTTAGAGACTTTCAATGACATGGCTCAAAATCTTTTGCGATTGAGCGTGTGTATCCGTTCTTTATCTCTCCCCAAATTCTGAGATTCTAAATTCTTCGTGACTGTTTGTGTGTTATTATTTCAGTAATGTATGTTTTCGCCAATTGTATCCGTAATCTTTCCTATTACCACTGATACTATCACTACCTCTACCATTCTGAGAATCGGCCTGAAAATTCCATCTCTTTGTGATTATATGGTATGGAAACTTGGACCGATGTACATACGTACCAGGTTGTATGTTGTGACCGACTGACTAGAAATATGGTTTTATGTAATTCATAGAAACTATCTAACATTTTATCTTGTTAACTACAACCAGGAAAATACAATTATGAATAATTTACAAACAAGAACCAACTCTTGTTCTAGGAACAATATTGAGCCGTAGTCGCTGATCTACAAGACTGGCACCAGCCTCTGAAAGGTAACCTTGATTTGGAACCAAACATGATCGACCAAAACAGCAAGGGCAGCAGTGTTTATGCATCCATTTGGTCCATTTTGGGTTAAGCTTCCCATAGGGCTCTTCATCCTTCGGTTTGAATACTGCAATTTTCTCCTAAAAAATGTGCGTTTTCAAGTAATTTGTCGGTAACGAACGTAAAATGCAAACTAAAATGTTGAGAGAATGTACATAAAATAATAGTGGGCTACAATTTTTAATACCTTGGTTATATCTGTTATCCGAAGAGTAAGAACTAATATCTGAGTAAATGGGCATATTTACTTTACTTTATCTTGTAATTAATGAAGGTGGTAATTGTTCAACTATTCTTAATTGGAAAGTCATCAAATAAAAATATGCAAAACTCCCTAGTTATCAACGCAAAACACTTTAGAACCTGTTTCAGATTAATACTCCTGGAAAAATTTAATAACTGCTGAACATAACATATTTTCCCGTTTCATTAACCCTTACGTTTGGCAACTATTAGCAAAGAACATGGGTCATTGACCACATACCAAATAAAGTTAATGGATCACTTTGTGGAACACATCGACGAACTTGAAATAACGCTCCATTTACTGCCCTTGAGCAACCTGAGTGGCATATCCAACCATCACCAAAGTTAGGGAGATAATAACAAGGATAGAATAGAAGACAATACCAAGACCTATTGTATCACATTTATTGGCCTCTCAACTAGAGCACTGACTACTTACTATCTCTACTTTTCAAGAGACAATCGATCTCATTAAGACCATCACATATTTCATAAACAGATAAACTTGATAAATCCGAGTTGAAATCCAGAACCTGCGCACCCACTTTTTATGTGCAAAACCGCGATAGGTGAGAAACAAAAACTGCTATCACAAAGCAATAAAGAGAAGTATAGTTAATAACCGCAAATGCGAACTACTACGCCTAATAAGATACTTAGAACCACAGGGGGATTGGTAAAAAATACCCCCCCCCCGAATGCAAAACTATAATTGCCTGCATCATTTAAGACAGATTATACCACACCTCTATTATTAGGAAACCATTGCATGATATGTAATATTTGCACTCAATGTAGGGTCTATTAATTTTGCGAATACAACAGAGAGGCCATGTTTCTTATGAAAAGCTTGCCTCAAATAATGGAAATTTAGACACGAAGTTAGGGAGAAAAACAAGATTTTTAACAGTAAACATACTCCATTAGCATTCTTAACAAAGTAACTCCCACTTGACCCTTGATAAATTCTCTCGGGCAATATTCCAGACTCAATAGCTTGAAGAGCACTTTGTAAAACATTTTTGAAGTCTGAATCGTTATGTATTTCGTTTACAAGTGGTGAATATGAATCAGGAGAAAAGTTATCACTAACATCTCCTAAAAGAGGAGCGTTCTCATCATGATTTTGTGCTGTCATATTTAAATCTTCAAGCAAAAAGCCATCGACATCCGCCTTCAGAGTATGGTTACGAAAGCTGTCACCGTAAACAGAAATAATACCCAGGGATGGCATACATCAGCCATGCACGTGTAAAGTGTCCAACAACAAAACAGCTTTGTAACGCACACTTCAAACCAACCTGTGTAATTTCAGCACCCAATGTCTTTATAAGAAAATGAAATAAACTGGTTGATTTTGTGAATAGACTACCAACATCTACTAAAAACGTCTATATCTTCAGCTAGTTCCAGTGTGGTGATTCGGAATATCCAAACGCCTTGTTCAGATTCAGGTTTGTGTAGTAAGGACAGAAGGCCAACGGCCTTTGTTATTCGTTTGCTAGTATGCTTCTGTGTGTGTCCAATCTTCTCTTGAATGAGTCAAATGAAGGTTCGTGTAACGGGTTCCAGGTATTGTTTTAAATGTAGAGGTGAGTAAATGGCAAAAGAATTGCTTTATGAACACTCTACCATCAGTATCCAATATGCCTGTCAAGAGCTTGTATAAACCGATCGTTTTCCTTGCGCCCGCTTCTTTTCGTCCTAGTAAGCTTTACAGCGTTTTCTAGTGAGTATTATCCATAGGCTATCGATATCTGGAGAAGCAATTAATCAAGGCTGATTCACGGTTGTAAGAAATGTGTAGCACAGCATAGCCACCCGTGATCTGGTGAGGATGTGTGTCCATTAAAACTAATCAGGTCGGCACCCTAATCTCGAAGACTAACAAAACTGTTTATTTTGTGGATTTATTTACCGCTACGAAGTGATTGTTCCAAGAATAACAAGTAAGTTAGTCAACTGTTATTGTGTGGGAAGACGGAGGAAAATGCACAGAACCTGCCCTTCCTAAATATGTGTTAGACTTCATGGAGGATGTTGATTATATCCATGTAGTTCCTCATTTGTTCACTGGCCAGTGCTCTATCACCTTTGACAGTGGTGAGGGTAGTACGATCAGTCTATAACAGGCTAGGTCTTATTTACCCCCTCCTTCGAATATTGGGGAGAGAGTGGCCTGCTTCCATTCTCTTGGGAGTTGGCATGTCTCCAATGAGCGCCTGAATGTGTCACACACTCACGTCCCGATAGCCTCCGCGCACTGTTTCAGTGTGATAGGGAGTATGTTCTCAAATTCTGGTGACTTTCCTGGGTGCAAAGTGTTTGGTTTCCCTAATACTAACCTAGGGATTACCTGAACATTCCCTTAAATAGAACTAGAGTTGAGAAGTATTCCGTGCTTGCATACACCTGGTTTCACCGGCCCATGGAGTTGGCATTAAAAATCTATTCCCTTTCTAAGTTTGCAAGATCTTCCTCGTTCGTCTCTTTAAGGGCGGAAGTCTACTGGAGTGTAGGCTTTATTTTGGTCATGAATTTGTAGTGATATTCTGGGTTAGGAGTACAATGTGTTGGATAACATTCTGAATGATGTCTCTAACCATCTTCCAGTGGCCACCCAATGTTAGCCTTTACCATTTGTGGCCAAGAGGCATGTTGCAGATCCTTCCTCGTAGTCATGTACTCTGTCTTAGTATAATAAGATAATGGGCATCCTTGTCCTAGCCAGGCATCTCGTTTGTGATCATGTCAGACACGACTGCACCATGGTCACCACCTCCTACTGGAAAGTGGGCATTGACAAACTCAACTAGAAGCTGATCATTTGTCTGTAAAGATCTAAGTTTGAAGGTTTTTCGTTCATATACCATATCACAACACCACCCACATGCTCAGATACTCCCGAACTTTCGCTTACGGGACCACCCCTGTAGGTTTTATATCCTACCTGATTATATTTGGGGACGGTGTGGCGGTCAGAGTATCCACATCATTATAGAGAATGAAACAATATTACTATCACCGACTGCCAAACAAAACTGGAGAACAAAAGATTATACCGAGATCCGTTTATTTAACAAATACAACAGGTTCATACACCGTTATAATATTAGCATGATATCAATAACTAAAGTCTATATATCAATAATAATGATTAATGCTTTCCAAACTTTCGTCAGTTATTCTCACTGACTCTTGAACCTGAATTTCAAATCCCGGACACGATGCAATCACGGGCTCTCTGGTGCCCGAAAGCGGGATGCTAGCATGACCAAACAGATTAATGGTGTCAACACCTCAGTGCCCTTGACAGGTGAAGTGTTGAAGTCTGCTGCTAGTAGTATTTAGTCAGAACTTTAGCATAGTAGCTTTAGTATTCCATGTATTATCTCATGACTGTGGGTTTTAGAACCTGTGGGAGTCTGTATATTTTTACAATCAATTACTTAGTGGCATTCTCATCAAAGCAACACCAGCGTGACTCCGCCACGTCGGTTAATTCGGTATTGTGTGGTGTTTTGTCTGTGAAGTAACTGTTAATGTATATCATCACTCCACCTCCTGTTTTGTGTACCTCGTCGTATTGGAAAAGTATCCTGTCCGTGATATCCGTGATATAGAGCGATAGCCATGTTCATTGAGGACCACGATCTTCAAATATAGCTGAAGTCACATGTTTCCACACCTCATAGGTTGCATTGTAGTCCTCTTTCATTGCTACAGAGGCAGTTGATAGTTTGTCTAATCACGTTTTCCTCCTCTACAGAGTCATCTGTTTTCTGGTTTTCAAGCAAACAGTTGGTTTGGGAAGATCTGTTATTCTGGCAAGTGGTGGGCATATTATTCCCTCGGCATAAGCTGTCGAGTTTGTGGTTATTATTCGTCGCTTCTAGTGATACCACTGATGCTTCTAATTCATTTCATTATTAATTCTAGCAGCAGACATTAGTAAGTGGTAGTCAGGGTTCACATACGCTAATCAACTTACGTGAAGATCACGGATTTCAAGATCTTTTCTACTCTCAGTTGGTATCAGATCTATCATTTGGCTTTGAGCGTAGCCAGATATACCAAGGTGTTCCGCTTGGTTGTCTGTTTTCAAGGTGTTCATGATTTTTGATTTGTTGTTGTTACTATGAAGTTCTACAACACTTATCTCACTGTGTGAAGTTTCTGTTTCAATGTTTACGTATTTTCATATTACATGGAAGTGGGTACCATATAGGTTTCTACAGAGTCGAAGTCATTCAAGAACTCAGTAGGAATTTTCTATTCTTATAATCTTTGAATCGTATTTTAACCAATACGCAGAATGTTGCATTTTGTTCTTCAATCCAAAATTTTGTGATGCCTAGCAGCCGACTACGTTGTATCATTAGATAATTTGCGTATTTCACGTTTCTTACATGTGTTTTCTTCCGTTTTTGAAGTCAATATTCTTCTAAATTCCACAGAACCTGTTTAAATATAGTGAATGTTATACAAGTATTGTTGAAACTTGTATACAGTTGCATTTTTGAAGAAACCCAAAATGGTTTCTCTATGACACGTATGTTCCAATAAGCTGTTTGTCAATAATAACATTTATTGGTAGTTGCTCTGTTCAATATTGCGTATCAGATATTCAGTTCAGATTACTCTTGAATTATTACCATCTTAACTATCCTGTTATTTTTTGTGTCGTATGACTTGACTTTGACATTCTGATCCTGGTTCACTATGAGTCTTACTCCAGTGTTTTCGCAGCCGATAACATCGTGGTTACAGTTGTATAATGCGTGTTTTCATCTGTTTCGATTACCTTCTATGGAAACTAGGTTTCTAATAGTATTGTTATGTGATAACATCTTCAAACCCTAATTTTTCTGATTACAGCACATAATTTTCCTACATCTAGCACTACGGGATTTGAATCGGCTACTGCATCTCTGTGCTAATGTGATGTGGCAACTCGAACTGATGTACGTACGTACGAAGTTCTACGTTGTTACTGACTGACTGACTGTTATGTGATACTTCCGTCCAGCCAGTTGGTCCAATATCAGATGTTGTTTCGAGCCTTCTGAGCATCCCCGGACATTTTACAAGCCAGGTTTGAATTTTCCGTCTCACTTGTTTTGTTCGCCAGGCTTGTTAACTGGAAGTAATTTTCGAGCGTGATTTTTTCAACGAGAGGCAAAGACCGACTCGAATCCCGTCCTTAGCGTTCAGTTCCATGAATTAATGCGAATGGCAAATTAGGAAGCCATTACTCTGCCGTAGGCTACTGGATTGCAAATCACCTGATATCAGGACACGTATTCATCCTGTTCCTTGATAAATTTAGCTCCAGATAATATAACCGAAGATCTAATTTCCGTGAGATCCGTGATATAACCGTTTTACTGAGTATCAAATGAACTTGTACAGTCGTTTCTTTTCCACTTATTCATACCGTCATTGTTCTCTCGTCCTTATTAATAGTGTCTTGTAAAAGCTGATGTGTGCCAAAGCGAAAGTGTGAACAGAGTAATATGCACTCAGTTTTATACACATTATTACAAAGATGGTATGAGATTTCCGTATACTTCGTATACGAGTCGTCTCATTGATCCCATAGTACACAATTATCGACAGAGTGACAAACAAATTGAATCATGAAAGATACACTTCTGAGCATGAATAGTCTTCCAAATGACTGTACCGGCAGGAGTGCAGATAAATACGGTACTTTTCACGATATTTTTAATTGAAAGAGACTTCGAACTGAAACGAACAACATATAAATGCTATATTTTACTTGACGAATTTCGCAAGTGAAGTGCGGGCCGATAATATTCAAACGCACGAACGTTCCTCCAGTCGACAGACGGAAATAAGGAGAATAATAACGAAACAACTTTATGCCACTTCAAAATTTGATCAGAATACTTCTGTTTTAATATAAAGCTACTGGTTGACTTTTAATGATTCACCTTTGGTTACTACGACTCAACAATTGTGTCTGTTTGCCTCTGCCCTGAAGCTGACATGACTGCTGGAATGTCTGCAATGTATTGTACTCAAAGAAAATTTGCAAATCAAAGAACAGTAGAAAAGTGTACTCATGGTTCAGTAAGCACATAGAGTTCACTAATATTTTATGAAGAATGCGACCAATAACAATCAGCCGTAGCATGAGTTAATCCCAGAGTTTTCGGGGAGTGTTACACGCAGTTCTGATATTTGATTTGATGCTGAAGCTTTACCGAGGGAGTGTCCAGCGAAACCATAATGGCTACTATGACAGTTGAAGAACAGCTGATTTTAGCATTCCGTGTATTTAAAAAGACCGAACACTTTGCTCCAAGCTCTACAAATATCAAACCGACAGGAAAATTAAATGTGGCTATTGATGAAACTGGACTCCTCAGCTTCCTCAACGAGTGTGGAAATTGCAAACGTTAATGATCAGTGCACCAGTCAGGTAAACGAGGGGTGAAAAATTCACCCCCTCTGAGCATAGAATCCTAAGCTTCTGACAAGATTTCACAATCTAGGCTTTTCCTAACCTTAGAAACCGCCATATGCAATTAAACTGTTTTTGTTGGACAGCGCATATGAGTCAGTTGTGGAATTCCCTTCTCAAAATGTGTGCTAAGTTGGATGTATCAAGGTACTATTATCTCTTAAACAACTTATCCAGTATCTATTAATAAATTGTAATTCCTTACCCTTTTATGAATAGCTAGGTGATGTCGAATACGACAATTTACATATACTCCATTGTTTCTTACTGACAATAACTCAAGAGGTAAAGTAGGTCATCACTCGTGAACCATGATTAATAAAGTCTAGCTTAGGTTAAAGGTTTCAGAGCAGCACAAGAAAAAACAAAACCCATAGTCTCATTGAATAAGAAAATGAGAATTCAGCGAAGAAAATTTCCTTTTCGACGAAATCATTTACTTAAGCTGTACATTCGTATATATAAACTTTGTTGAATTAATTAAAAATATCAACGTGGTTGGTAAACAAATGATCCCATTAGATGTCACTTCTCTTTTTACAGATGTTGCGCTCACAGAAACTATATGTTTTTTATGTGATTATATATAAAATAACAACCTTGATATATATATCCCTAAACATTATTTATAGAATTACTTCTGCGATGTACGCTCAACATGCAGTATGGAATTAATGATAATTTCTATTGACAAACAGATGGAGTTACAATGGATTCTCCATTGCGCCCTCTCTTGGCTGACTGCTCCATGGCCAATCTGGAAAATTCTGTACATCGTCCAATGCTTAAGAGATCTCATTTATATAAGAGATATATGGATGACACTTTCATTATTTGTGAAGAAGACATTTACCTAAATGAAATTTTGAAAGGTTTCAATAACTGTCACCCTTCAATTCAATTCACCTTGGAAGCAGAGGCAAACAATGAATTTCATTTTCTTGATGTCTGATTAAAAAGAATGCTTGATGGTTTTTTACAGCGATCCATATATAGAAAACCTACCTTGAATGGGCAGTACACTAATTTCCATAGCTGGGTCCCATTGAGTAGAAAGAGGAACTTGATTCACTCCTCATGCTCTAGGATCAAGCGAATCTGTTCCACTGACACAACAGATGAGGAACTAATTCAGCTTCGACAAACTCTCATCAGAAACGGTTATCGACCTAGATTCGTCAATAGTAACCTAACAACTAGAATTCATCATGAGAAAGGATCGACAGCACAGAAGAAAACCTTGCTAATGAATATGGAAGCTAAAGTTGACACGGCTACTGAAATCTTAAATAAACGGATTTCACAACCATTGAATGAAACTTTCCGCACAGTTAAGCCCCGAATTGTTTTCTCAAGCCGCCTACGATTCCTGGATGTGTTAAAGATAAACTTCCGCTTTGGACCACATCAATATGTATTTATAAATTTACTTGCTCATGTGAGGTACGTTCCATGTGCCGAACAAAGCGATCACGTTCCGAACGCATCTCAGAACACTATCCGGCTTGGCATTTTAAAAGAGAATGTAAGACAATCACTAGTTCTATACAGAGGCATCAATTTTGGACACGTCGCTCCCAAGGATTCTTCTTTTAAAGTGATCTGCAGAGTCGAGGAAATTGGATCGAATGGGTCTCGAATCAATATTTTTTGCCTTGCTGGGGCACTGGCAATTCACGAACTCATGCCAGAACTCTGCGTGCAGATACGATTTGTCCGACCTCTCATCCTTCCTTGGCCCTAATTCCCTTAATCGGTATGTTTCTGCTTTCTTGTTTTTTTTCTGCATTTTAATTTGGTTATTATCAAATTTTTTTAAAATTACTATTTTGCATTCTAAACTCTAATCACTTATTATTATTACCTTATACAAGTTTTCCTGATTAGTATTCAATCTATCATTATGACCTTTGTGTTTGTCTGTCAGTTTGACTATTATCTGGCCCATAAACGATTTTCTTCCCCACCCCTTGATTAGTGCGTAACCTTATTTGTTATTTATTCTCGAATCCATTTTTGTGATGCAGTTTTTTCTATCTTCCTATAGGCACACGTTTTCCATATAACTATACATACGAATGTACAGCTTAAGTAAAGGATTTCGTCGAAAAGATTTTCTTCGCTGAATTCTCTTTTTCTTACTCAAAAAACAAAACTGCAAAAACGTTGAAGATATTTAGCCCTCGCTATATGTGAATAGACTGTCGTATATTTTTTCTATAGACATAGTGATTATACTTGGTAGTTCATTTTAAAAAAATCAAGTTCCATTGACTTTTGTGACTTTAAGTACACAACGTTAATTTTTCGTATTCTACATGTTGATGGAGCTGCATGACACGTTGAAATCTATCTTATAGACCTCAAAAAATCCATATGATGTTGTTTAGGTAAGTCTGGATTTTAAAGTAGGTCATTAACGAAACACTAGGAAATACGATGAAAACAATTTTCCATTTTAAATGCAGAGTTGACAAAGTGGGACTTCAAATGTACGTTCCATATATTATCATCCAAAAACAGTAGCCTTTAGAAAATTAGCTTAAAAACTGTTTACCACGATTTACGCACCTTTGGATCCGGACTAAAAAATGATGGGTAGTAATCGGAGAGACACTGGATGTGGTAAGGGACCTCAGAAGTCGTCCTGCTGCAAGTTAGATGTTGAATTATGACTATGTATAGGCCATAAATAAAAAGTCGCGAAATATTGAGTACAATAATCACACGTACCTCAACCTAGTAGTTTAAACCAACTTACATGGCGAAGCCCAGTAGCCTACTGGAAACCCAAAACCTAGGTTTCATGTCATCTGACATTTCAGAGAAAGAAATGCTTGAAGTTATGAAGGAACTGGTACTACTTGGCTCGCCACATTCACAATCTGAAACGTCATTTGGCCGCTATAGGAGCAACTGGTTTCTTGTAAGACCGATAGGTTTACGACTAATTGGTCACTGACTGGCAAATAATGCTATTCTTATCAAACCAATTATAATGTTGATTGAGTTTTGTTATTCTACTCCACATGTTAGCATTATTTAGCAGCCTAGTATGGCGCTTAAACTGGTTTCTTGACCTTTACCAAGGTAATCATGTGCTTGTTGCCTTTATAAATAAGAGTAAAATAAACATCTGATATACAACCGTTCTACAACCACATGTGCAATAAATTATTGGGAATAAGTAGGAAGATTATTGATTAGTAAACAATTTTATTCCTACTGATTAGTCAAAATAACCTAGTCGGGAGTAATATGGAAATATATCTTCTTGTAATTGTAGTTACATCTTTGCATATCAAATACCTATACTTCGATTGCATTTATTTACACCTTCACAAGTATGTGGCTGATCTTCCGAATAACTTTGAAGTTCAGTATGCTATATCAGACTGCATAAATTTATTCAGTTCAAACTAGTAGCTTTGTAAGAATAAAGATCAGTTATTGGTGAAGTCACATGTCTCACTTTACTGTTGTGTAAACAAATTGGTATGGTGAAATTGACAACCATGTAATGGCGGTGAATTACGTGAATATAATTTTGCATTTGTTTTATCTGTGAGAACACACAGGGCTTTCTTTTAAGGTTTAATGCAATTCTTTTCAATTGGTAACACGACGTAGACTGTTTGATTGTGATGACTATATATCTGAACCCTTAATGCCTATTCCTGTCTACGTTTGGCCTACTTTTATATCCTATTTACGGATTCTACCTCTAAGACCGTAAAAATCTCTTAGCGGAGTCTACGATCTACAGACACCATAGAAACTCTGACGTACAAATTGTGAAGACAAGTCCAATAATTTTCAATAGCAAAACCGTCATAATCACAACTCATTGTGTTTAAGGTTTCAAGTATAGTATACCTAACGTCGTTAGCAACATCGGTAGTTTTGTTATCTATTGATATTGATTAAAATAATTTGCAGTGGTTTGTTAGGGGACAACTGACATGCTAGGAGCATATCGCCATTTCTTAATCAGGATTCCTAATACACCTGCTTCAGTCTGGGCACCTGGGCAGTATCACAGCCCAAACACAAATCATGTGATGTGTGCGGCGCATATGTATTCGGTGCCCTTTGTATCAATATTTATGTGTTCAAATAAATTTATACACCCGAGCTAATTTCTATAACACATGTTAGGAATACTACCTGGGTATTCAATCGAAGTATCTAGCCCAGTTACTGAATGTTAGGTTCTTTAACTAAAGAACCACCACATTTATAACTTTATATTTCCAAAAAGGTTTAAGAGATGACTTCACTCATACCTAGCAATCACAAAGCAGTTAAAGGAATTGTGCAGGCTAACAAAAATAATAAAGTTTCTAGATTTCTTATGTCCCATCCTGCATCAAATACCTGGAAACCCTAAGAAAATGTCTGGAACCTCATAGAAGAAGTTTTTAACTCGGGACCCACCATCAATATGACTCTCCGAAACTCTGAGCATCGAGTGGATAACATTGTTACGACTTAGTAACTGGATCTGGACCTAGATGTATCCATGAGCTCGTCTTTATTGTATTGTAAAAACAACCTAAAAAGGATTAGATATCTGGAACTGGCATGAAGAGAACCATTTTGACCAAACAAATGATTTAATATCTTCTTGGAAGTAGTCCGGTTCCGTTATTATTTTCCATAGTGCCAGTCGACTGGTCATACTGTAATGAAACAACCATATATCATCTGGTAATATAAGTTGCTGCATTAAACGAATACTCACCTGCACTTTGATTTACTTCACCGTAGCTCACCAAAACAAAATTTAACACAGGTGGAATTAAAAAATTCAGGAATGTTATCAAGTCAGTAGTATTGACATGTTGTTAGTTAGTAAAACTATATTCTAAGCCTCTCAGTATATATATATATATATATATATATATATATATATATATATATATATATATATATATTATTAGGGTAACCGACATGAATACTTAAGTGCCAGTTTTTCAGAATGTATCCTGTGCTTAATCCAATCCATTATGCCGCCCTGTTATAAATATAGGATACGGAAATTCTGTTATTTGCTGTTTCGAAGCACCTAGTGAATGCGAAATGAATATTCCTCCCACAAAGCATAGGATTTCGTGAGAAGGTAAATTTTCCCGTGGTGTTTTGTCTCGTTGGTTTATATGATTTTGGATATATATTATATAATTGACATACCTTGCAATCAGTCATAGTGGTCTCAATAAAATATTAATAGAAGTCTCTTCTTATCTAAAGCTTTATGACTGTAGACTACTGAAATATGGTCTTAACGTATCAGAAATCATTAGATGAAATCCCATTAACGTTACCTGTTTTCACACGACTATACCTGTTTGGTTCTTAACCGTTTTCAATGTCTGTGAAGCTATGGCGACTCAATTCAGTTCGATATAACTGATTTGATCTAGTGTACGTATTATTCATAAGTTTTAAAATCAGTTTGCCGATTCCAGTATGGAACTCGTTCTGACATCTATTTTACTTTTTTATCTGGACTTCAGTTGCCAATTGGTCGATTCATGTTACTACTTTAAGCCAAGAAACAACTTATATTCACCAATGGTCACATTCTTCGGCAAACTAAGTTGTAAATTTCATACCTCTGTTAATTTTCGTGGAGGAATTCGTCAGTCATCTGAGCTACTATATGGAATTCATCCTGTCTTGTGCGCTCTTACGTTTCGTCATCGCGATATTTACCGGCTATACGTCAAAGACGTATTGAGCAACTGCAAAGATTCCGACAATCTCGTAGAGATATCAGCATCTCAGATAACCGAGAAAGCACTCAAATATGGCATACCAGTAACTCGAGTACCAGTCGAAAAGCTCAAAGAACTAAGTAATTCAAGAGCCCATCAGGGTGTAATACTTGAAGTTTCTCCTACCACCATACAATCTATTTCAGACTCGTCAATTAAAAATTTGTTATTTTCTTGGAATAATTTATCAGGCTGTTTACCATACGCAAAAAAGTATCATAGACCTACTGTTCTACTTCTGGATCATATGATGGATATCATGAATTTTGGGAACATATTGCGTTCAGCGGCATTCTTTGGTATATCTGCGGTCATACTATCTACTTCTCCGTGTGTCAGCCCATCACCTCTAATAAGCAAAATTAGTGTTGGCGCAATGGAAAGTATCTTATTTTATAGGTTAACTGATACAGTAATGGATATGAAATCCTTATCAAATGCTGGGTTTTTGATAGTTGGTACTTGCGGGGAAAGTCAGCTTCCATCAACTAAAGCTTCCAAATCTACAAATTTTCTGAAACCGGATGAGGTACTGACTGTTCTGTAAATAATGTAACAGACTCACCAGTATTTTCAGCGACCACATTGCTCAACAATTTGAACTGAGTATTGAATTAATTACTTAGTAATAATCTGTCATAAACTGTGGGAAACCATGTGCTTCATTTTCTTTGGTCCTAATATATGTAAAACATTATTGTCGGGGCACAGTATCTGTCAAACTATTCGTTCAAATATTGACGAATATTCGCATATATCCGTAAAATAGTTTCCGATGCTTTAACATATAACCATAAGTCTAGAACCTCATAAAGAATGTTCTCACAAATATTAAAAGCGTAGAAAACATACAAAAGAATAAACCATTAAATTGTAACCAAAAGGGTATAAACCGTTTTTGTACTAAATTACACATCATTCAGCCATTTGTTCGCATATCGTTTTCAATCGTCTCGATCTTTGGATTATTATCGTAAATAAAGTGTTTTACCTTTCAGTTTAAGAGATATCGACAGCTCACCAGAAACCAACGTATGCAAAATATGAGCTATCACATAAACAATATTTAAAGGCACACAGAAAAACGAATGCTAAGTAAACAACCATGAAAATATAAAGGCTTATCGTATTTCAGCACATTTTTTCAGTTAAGATATCCGAATATTATTATATCTGTTTCTAAAACGTAATCCTTATTCTGTAGTTTCTCAAATTTCTTTCATCTTTTTACCTTTAACAAAAAGGTTTGGTACTAAAAAGTGACACCAAAAATGCTCCCACAAATTGAAACAATAATGTTGCAAAATATAGCAAGGTCATATAAAAATTGACTAACTAACGAGAATAGTGTTCATTGAAAGGTACATCCACAGTTTGGAGGATTCACCTAACTTTTTTGGAGAACATAATGAAAAATATACTAAGATTTCCATTGACTTTTGTTCTGAATCTTGTTTGACAACGCCTCAAACTACTATACTGCTTATTTGGGACTCATTTCGGGGATTCTTGGTAGACAGACGGATCCCAATCCCAAATAGTTATTCTACGGCGCCACATCATAAATTGACCACGTCTCCACTTTTTCAATCTAATACTACCGTCAAATAATGCACTGTATAAAACTCGACGGGACAAACTTCCTAAAGCATATCCAACCCTAAATCTTGAGATATATATTCAGTCGTGTTACTTTACAAATCCTTATTCCATTTACTCCGTTGTTTTTGGTATTTTTATCTTAGTTGACTGTTTGTTAGTTTAGGTGAAAAAAATGATGTAGCAAATTCAGTTGGCAGATATTTTTCATTGTTAAACATTACTACGCTTACCTTGAACTTCAACACAAAGTCCATCCCAGTAACCTACTAGAAAGACCACCCCCTGACAATCCCATCTCTCTGAACCAATGTGCATACGTACTAGGTTGTACGTTGTGACTGACTGACTAACTGGAAATACATTTTTACATGATTAAGTGTTCGAAATACGTTGTGTTGTTCTATTTTCAGGTGAGGGCTGTGATTGTGGTTAAAATAAAAAATTTTCACTACAGATTTTGTTAGTCCTTCCATCAATGTTTTGAAGTTAAGATACTATGCTAAAAAACTGACAGTGATTTATTGGATGATGTCCAGTAGGGTAAAAACATTTAGCAGCAGCACAACCAAGCAGATTTTGAGAGCTCTATGTGATAAATTAATAAATGTATTATTTTGAGAAGAAAGAAACCAAGTAGTTTATATACAGTGTTGCAAATTTGTTTTCCTCCAGAACCGAATTATTGCCAAGTTATGTAGAAGCAAATTTATTGTTTCAATGTTTGTAGTTGGATTATATTACTATCCTGTAATTATCCCACTGTTTGTAATTACTTCAGGTGGGCGCTAATGATGACAACAACACTGGAGTTTACCCTAGACCTCTGGTATTAGCCCTGGGAAGTGAATCGCGGGGTCTCAGCGAAAATATTCTAAATGCTTGCGATTTATTACTACGTATACCAGGTTTTGGAGATTCAACCAAATTAAATCAATGTCTATCACAAAGTATTACATCATCTTTAAATGTATCCGTTGCTGCTGGTATTTTATTATATCAGTTAACTATGTTTCGGCATGGACACGAAGCTGTTGACAAAACCTCTTTTATTTCCCATACTGAATAAATCGTCTTTAATCTGTTTATGAGATTACTTTCACAACTTATATACATATCTTGCATCTATTCCAATTTCGTGCATAGTTATATTCGATCAGAAATCATTTTTTTTTTGGAATATGTTACTTTGTTTTCAAATAAATTGTTATTATTCATTTCTTCTGTTTTCTTGTCTGAATTCCAGTGAAATGTCGATTATTCGCATTTTCTTAAATGTTCGTTGACTTATTATTAATTTACTAGTTCAGTACTACCACTTGTCTAACCATTCCATACTAGGTATTCTGATAAAGTTAAAAAATTCCTGTAAACACTGATACGGTGTCAAGTATTACCATGATTTGTTTTATTGACAAATAAAACGGTAGCATCTATACAATATATGTTTAAGCTATCCTTTTCGAAAATTTGTCTCCATGCATGGGGAATTCCTACTTAAACTTTGACCAAGTCGTGGTGTTAATTGTATCTTTATGGACAGTTTCTTGTTTTCTATCTACAAATATTGGCTTGTCTACCAGTTTTTTTCTACTGAGGTTCATTTTAGCTTGTTAATTAATTATTTACCGCTCAGAGCTCATATCTTAATAAGCAGCAAATCATGAGTTGGTTTTTTTCACCGTTTCATAAAATAAAAGGTTAGGAATGTGCACGATTAATTTTACTAAGAAATCGAAATAAATCAAATTTCATATCCTGTTCTTGTGATTAAAAACTACTTATGAGGAATTGATCCATTATAGAGTATTATTGTTTAAACAACAAAATACAGTCGACTTTTACGATTTCTCCATAATTCGTCCAAAAAATGCTAATACTATTGCTGTCACTGAATTGGCAGATTTGTTTTCAGTAGACTATAGCAATTTATGGGGGTTATCTTGATTTTCTGAAGTAGTCTTTGGGTTGTTTGTTGGAAACACTTGGGTAAAAACGTATTGATTGAAGGGTGAATCATCCACTTCATGTGTTTGAAAGATTTACTCAAAGTTTCATATCATGATAACATTTCGCATATCTCTACTTCGCAGTATCTACCTTCATTCAACTTTCTTGTAACGCGTTAAAGATCATCTTTCCATTTCCACTTAACATTTTGGGTCTAACTCTAAACTCATTAGTGTTTGTATAAAGGTGTTACTAAAATAAATACTGCAACCTGTAGGTAATGTCATCATAAGGTTAGAAACTAACTTATCATAATGCATTTGATAAATTCTTAAGGACATTACCCTTTCAAAAATTATAGCTATTCACAATGACGTTTTGCTGATAATCAGTTTTACACCAAACAAGTTTACATTTTGTTATATCAAATATAGATTAATTCGTGTTTTATGTCGCACATAAAGGTTGCAGATATTTGCCAACTTTTTTCCCTTAGCCTACAAAGAGATTATGAAAAGTGAACAAACTGGTGAAGTTTTGCTCCCACCGTCTGCTTTTCTTATCTCAGATCCTAATCATTCCAATTGCCCTCAGGATGTGAACAATGATGCTGAACGCACTAATTCGACAATAAGCAATAAGAGCACTAGAAAATTGTCAATAAGCTCGATTATTTCTAAGTAAGTAATCTAAAAATTGATTCTAAATGCTCTTCTAGAGTTGTATATATCTGATTAGTATAACAGTGTTAATGAATAATGCACATTCTTAAATTTTTTTGTTAAATCAAATCGCCCCGCGTTACAACTTCTCTTATTACCACCCAGCTACTCATCGCTTAGCATTCTTGGACATTACTTCACTCGACAAGTCCCTAAATCAGAACACGATTCAACAGGAACGCAATTATGTTACAAATAAAAAGGGTGGATGGAAGTAGGAATCACAATAAAAGAAACGTTAGTATATTTATAGTTTTTTACAGATAAAGATTCTAGGTCTATTAATTACCTAAATGCTCCAATAACTATTTGTAACGTTATCACCGGGCTGTTGCTAAATTTGACTAGGAAGATGTGTAGATATCCTCATTTCTTGGGAAGTGAAGACCCACAGATAAAAATGACGTTTGAATCGGTCATCAAAGAGGGGGATCAACTGGAAGCTTTCACATTCTCTATTAACAATACCAGCATAATTGATAAATTCATTAAATCCTCGTTTATAAGTTCCATATATTGATCATAATCCTCAAAAATCGACTCAATTTCACCTAAAGAACTTATCGTATCTACATGTGAATTTTATTTTATCGATTCGAGATTCACCTCCATTTAATTATAAACCATTGTTTGTTTAACCTTGTATTAAGATAGGATTAAAGAGAACTCTTTAGTACTATGTACATATTCTTGAAAATCTGTAGTCATTCAGAATAGTCTCTCTCAAAAACCAATTCTTCCCATTAAATTACACACATTATTCAATCACTCAACGCATTACAAACCTGTACAGTAACAATAACTACCGTTTAATATTGAACGCGAAAACGATTTAGAAAACAAAATCGAACTCTTCAACGTTTATATCTTTTAAGGTATAATCCTTAGCAAAAATGTGATATCTACCATTTAGAAAACCCTAATGATGCTACTGTTTTGCGTGCTACCTTTGTAAAACATTTAATCATGTTTGTCATACATTGCCATCTCCTCTATTATTGACAGCAATATGCTAGCAAAGTTTATTACTATTATAGCGTGTATTCTACTAATTATGCTGTGCTTTACAACGATGCCATCTTTGATTACCTATTTCATGTTATTTACCAATGTTCAGTCAAAATTTATAAATCGCGTCTGTTCTAAAGACATGTCCTAATTTCCAATATTACCTCTTCTTTTGTATCAACCTGGTCAAAATAGTAAATTGTAATAAATTCTATTATCGTGTTCAGAGTATATTATTGTTATTATTAACTAAGGGCACAGTGTTCTTTTGTATGTATATATTAGGGCTTCTGATCGCAAATTACTAGTTTAATCAAAACAACCTAATAACCGATTACAGATTCATTTGTTTGATTATAGTCCATACTTTATATTTAAGTGCTAGTGAAGATAGTTATTGACTATAAGCCTAATTAGGTTTAGCAGGGTTCAAACCTGTAACTCAAACGTTCAATGCTTTAATTCATAAACTATCATTCATACAATGTAAAACATGTTGCAATTCTGCTAGCAGGAATTTTTTTTATTTTTCCAAAGTGTGTATCATAGATGGTGAACATTTGTAGCTCAAGTGGACGAACAAAACTCCACCAAATTGCGTATCATAGATTTAATAAAAATAAGTTATATTAATTTGTTTTCAGACTAAATAAGAATTCAGATGATTTAAACGATGATGGTCATTTTGATCGAATCAATTCAGAAGACATACAATTCAATTACACTAACAAATTTGTTAATGAACTGAAACAAGAAAATGAATATCTTTTACGAAGTCAGACGAAAGCTTTAGACGAATTGAACAAAATACGAGGATACATTGGATTGGGTAGAGTTTCATCTAAAATTACATTTAAGGAAGATTCTCTTGAACAACATAAATGTATTTGCGATACAGAATTACTGGAAAAGGTTATATATAAATTTTAACTAAATGGTTTGAATTAAACTTTTTGATTTCTAATCTATGTATCTTTTTACTTTGCCACTTCCTATTTATTAATGACTTTTGCTTTCATCGAATTCTTTGTCTAAACATAGGTTTCAAGAGTTAGAATATCTTTTTTAACGTTTCCAGCAAAAATTAAATTAAAGGTCTAGCTATCAGCGTATAATACCACTTGTTTTCTTTTAATGATGTAATATTATTAATGCTGTAAAATAAATAATCCGTTAACGGTTGACGAGTTGTTGGACGTTTCCCTAATCACCGGAAATGACTGAGTTATATGATCATTTGTACAAATTTAATCGAATAGTTTCACAGAAATTGGGCACCGATCATAGTAAAAACATCTGTGAAAACTATATTGAATAATCTCGGGGACTGAAACTTAAGTGATTACAACGTTCATGTTTGGGAAAAACATTCAAGCAACTGGATGCGAAGTTGAAGAAGCATAAACGATGTTTGAAACATGCCCCATAAATCCTCACTAGACCTCAATAAGTTAGAGGATATATCTATAACTGCACTGCATTCATTAGAAACAGGACATAAGACCAACTTCAAAAGAATTAAAATTCAGAAAAGTTTTGGCATTCATTCACAAAGAACCGATTCCTATATTGGTAAATAAGAATAGCTTGAATAGAAAAATGATCGAATTAGCTGCATCGTGACAACTGTTAATGAACAAACAAATTTTCGAACCTTATCATCCACCCTATCTATGCAATTAGTAGTTGAATTCCAGCTAAAAGACCGACGCCCAATAATTCAGTCAGTTATCATAATTGAAAGTCGCCTTCAACTATTTTCAATGTTTAGCATCACAACTAACTCTTACTGTTCACATCCTACATATATTACGACTACCTAAATTTACTCAAGTGTACTTATCGATTTATGGTAAACAAAAATGATGAATATGTCCCTGATTGTAGTCAGAGGATTCATTTACCCACTAAATCCTTAATTTAAGAATAACATAAAGACACGCATAAATACTTATTCTTATCCCACATTGTGAACAAATTCCACATAACGACTCATTATATTACTATAAACAAAATCAACATTTAAACGTAATGAAACACGTTTTTGGCATTATTTGGTTTGTAAACTTTATTTATATGTAATAGGTTTTTCTTGATTGTTTCTCTGAAGAAGCTCAAATCATTTGCTAGAAGGAACGCCAAAATTATTTTAATATCAATCGTTGAGTCTGCTCAGACATAATTTTCGTGTCATGACTGAGCTAGCTTGGTTATATACATCTTTGTCCTAAAACTATTAGTTTCTGTATGTTGGTTAGTATAAAAAAGCGTTACACTCTACCACTCGCCTTATTATATATATGTTGAGACGCTTTCGAAGCATGATCTAATCACTTTCTTGTATAATTAGAGGAAATAGTTACAATAAATGTCATCTTGAAGCAATATTCTTTTAGGCTGTTTTCTTTCACATCTTAACTTTGTATTTTTAATCCAATGTAGCATTTTTGATGATCTTCTGAAGTCTGGTTCTTTTTGTGACGTCAGAATCAGTTGCTTCAGCAATTCACTAGTTTCTATTTGAAATTCGGAATGGTCCTTCTTATTTTCTCATCTAAAGCCATAATAGAATCACCCGAATTTGCCTTTATACATTTTCCAATTATTTTCATCTTCTAGCTGAAATATTTGGAGAATAAAAATTCTGAGTTAAATCTGCAACTTGAACAAATGAACAGTCGAATGAGTAGTTTGGAGACAGTTTTAGAAATTCAAGAAAAACAGTTGTCCAGAGAAAGTGGTAATGAAGTGTTACCTATTAATAATAAGTAAGTTTCACTATCTTCTTAGAAATTGTACAGACTGACATTTTTACTCGATGCATTCCGTTTATACGAAATAGTAACGTGATTATGATTCACGTTTGACTAACTGAATAATTAAGACCAAATCGTATGAATGATCAAGATTTATATGACACGAATATAAACTGACTGATATAGGCATTAGAAAGTTAGAATATGATCCCCAGTTTACAATATTGGTTTCTTTACATCCCTCATATATGTTATTTCAACAATCTGCCCAAGAATATTACGAACAGAATTTCCTCACTAAATAAAATAGCTACTCAACTAGAATCACTTCGACCAACTATCCAGCGATCCTTCGTTTATTCAAAATCAAATTTCAGTTTGTTACACAATAATGTCGTCACGTTATCTGTGAGAGTTCCTATTGAACAAAAAGTTATACGTTGTCTATACATCTTGAAATATGTCACCTATATGCTGATACCGAAAATCATGAAAAATATTTATAATTGAAAGCTGCATACCGACCATTAACATGAATATGTACTTGCCTCATATAGGTTCCTAATCCTATCGACGAAAGCAAAATTATATTTCACAATGTGTCTTATTATTTCTTGACAAAGAGGTTTAAAATATTTTACTAGTCCTTTTCCAGCTATAACGAGAGTCTGCCAAATTGAAGAATGGACGTTAACTAATCATTAATCTCTACCATGTTAATAATCACAAATCTGCACCTCAAACAGTTGTAAATAATAACCAACTCCATATGTATATAATTGTTACGCAATACAATAATCATCAATAGATGTAGATATGGCCTACCAGAGATATGTATCGACTCAAGTTATCATATATAAGGGATGATAAATTATTAGGAGAGATAAAAAAGAGAAAATAAAGAATAGTACTGAAACTAGCAAAGTCTATGAGTAAAAAAGCTACTAATAGTTATAAAATAATATTATTGAAGTGGTTTTCAAATTATACGACGTAAACCGTAGATCTTAAATATCTTCACCACCAATGAAAAGTTTTTCCTCACCTACATGACTCAGGCCAACAGTCAACAACTTCCTAAACTGATCCTATATATCTGTCTAGCCGCTTCTATACTCTTACAAACCTAATTCTTTGCTAACTAACATAGCGCACCAAGGTAGAAGGTGGTTGGATGTGTAATACAAAAGTCTTAGTCAGTTTAGTCGACTAAGATTCACAATCTATCCAACCAATTGATCATCTCTATCTTACACTCTCTGTTTTACCGCAGCATTTTCACTTGATAGTTCCGCCGTATTCGAGCAACAATTCAAATACACATTACAAAACTTGTAATCTGTGCATATTATTTACTTTCAGAAGCCACTTTTAACATCAATGTATTGAAAAAGAGCGGATTAACCAGACCATAAACTCATCTTTTGACAAATAATTGGATATCCTCCCTCCCTCACAAGTACTGTAACTTTACAAAAGGAAAAAAGACACTAATATCTGCAGCCTGAATTCATCAATCACGAACTTACTATGATTGATTAGGCTATCATGATAAGTGAAGAGACTAATTCTCTCAATTAGTCCACTTCCCATTATCAGACCAAAAAATACATCTCATTCATTTACGATCACGTTTTCTGAAAAATATCTGTCAGTATCTTCATTACTGAAGATTATTTCGTGTACATGCTCCAAGATGATGGAATAAACTCTTAGTAGGACACCTTTGCATATGAAGTCGAAAAAACGTGACTTTTCTAAGAAGTGTATATACATACTTAAACCAGGAAGGCAGAAAACATTAACTCACATCAATTGACGTTAATAATAATAAAGCTTTACGTCAGGAAAATACAAAGCTTTCCTTGTTCAACTGGATTTTCTCTTCATACATACACTTGTGACACGTTCACTTATATTCACATCCTTTTATTGAAATTTAAGTTGGAGTTTTTTCTCTGAAAATATCTTAATTCTTACAAGCTGAACTATCATCATATATGTATTTAGTTGTTAAGTTTGTAGCTCTTTTACCAAAGATAAATCATCATTTCCTTGCATAATCTATCGTATTGAATTCATATCTAAATATCACATGGTCAAATTGTGTTTATTTCTGACTATCATTTGTTAATTTAGATGCCTCATTTCAGTTATGTTAATAATTCCCATGTACAGTATAGATTCATTTTGCAAATATAAATTTAAATTAGGTCTGGAAAAGTGGAAAATTTACTTTGCACATGGCGTAAACAGGTTTTACGCTTACTTATTGAAATAGAAAATCTTAAGTCTGAAAATTCCATACTGTAACCAAATCAAAATGTGCCTATGAAAAGCTACTTTCAGAATTTGAATCTTTAAAAGCAACTTTAGAAGCAACTGAATTTAAACTGAAAGCTAGCGATTCCGCACTGAACGTAGAACGTAATAAAAGACAGGTAAGTAGAAGTTTTATCTGTACGAAATAATAACGAAATTAAATAACTGAAATTCTATACTTTTTGTGTTGATTAAAACTAGTATACGCTATTAGATTCAATATCGTGACGTATACTCATAAAAGAAACTTTCCGAATAATAATACCATAGTTGTGAAACTATGGTCCAAAAGATTAAGATTGTTGTTCTCCCCAAAATTGTCTTCGGGTCAGTAAGTACACTTATATTTGTCCAACAACCTTCATTGTAGAGATCTTAGCAGTAAAAGGTTTAACTCATACTCTGTTATATTTCGTCAGATGCCCATTGTTGATGAACTATGACGCCCATTTGTAAGTATATGGAAAAAAACCCTATTGATTGGTTGTACCCTCATTGCATCAGTGTTTTTCTTGTTGAATTTATTTGAAAATGAAAATCTTCGGTTAAAAAATAGCAAATAATAGGTAGTGTTTTGGTGAAACTTTAAATGTTCTTAACTTTGCATACATTTATAAACTTGACTTCCATATCATTGATATTATTAGTAAACTATCGGCTAGTAATTAACTCTGCCTGTAGCTTTCCTAGGGCTACTGCCGGTTCCAAGCCCGAGTAAAGGAGTAGGGTTGGGTGTGGGGTCGGCAACCCTATCCCGTAAAAACGGTCTTGCTAAAAAAACGCTAACCATAATAAACAATTTGAACCACTTAAACTCTGCCCTTAGGGTTAAAAAAGGAACTATGATGCCTCATGATGAAAGCCGAGGTTCTTCGGAAGGACCAGCCAAATAACAACGGAAATGAGAAGATACAACTTGGCGGTCCTCGAAATCAGCGAAACCCCTTGGACCCAAGCTAAACAGCAAAGGTTAGGTACGGGAGAGATTCCGCTGCACTCCGGTCACGAGGAGGAAAATGCTCCACACACCCAAGGAGTTGCTCTAATGCTGTCCAAAGAAGCACGCAATCGACTTATAGGATGGGAACCTTGTATAACCAGGATCATCAAAGCATCCTTCGAAACAAAGAAAGAAGGAATTACAATGAATGTTATGCCCCACCTATGATAGCAATGATGAAGATAAAGATCAGTTCTACTCGAGGCTGTAATCGATCATAGAGCAGTGCTCCGGAAAGGACCTGACAATCCTAATGGGAAATCCAAACACCAAAGTCGGAATGGAGAACAACGGTTATGAAGATATCATGGGACGACATGGACTGGTTGGGAGAAAGGAAAAAGAATGGTGAGAGATTTGCGAATCTATGTGCACTCAAAAAATTCGTTATAGGCGGCACAATATTCACACAAACACATACACAAAGCTACATGTGTCTCACCGGACCACATCACGGAGAATCAGATAGACCATATTTGTACCAATAGGAAATTCAGAAGGACAATGGAAGACGTGAGAACTAGGAGAGGAGCTGACATAGCTTCAGATCACCACCTGGTGATTGCCAAGATGAAATTGAAGCTAAAGAAGCATTGGAAAACTGAACAACAGCATTAAAAAGTGTTTGGGACTCGACACAACTTCCAACCAACATGAAAGTCAGGATCTTCAATGCAAACGTCATGAAATTTCTACTGTACGGAGATAAAACTTTGAGAACTACCACAACCATTATCAAAAATGTACAAGTATTTATAAACAGTTGTCTACGCAAGATACTCAATGTCCGTTGATCGGATACCATCAGCAACAACCTAGAACAAGCCAGCTTCCAGTTGAAGAGGAAATGAAAACGCTTTTGATGGATAGAACACACATTGAGGTAATCATCAAACTGCATCACGAGGCAAGCGCTAACTTGGAATTCTAAAGGGAAACGAAAAAGAGGAAGGGCAAAGAACACACTGCGTCAAGAATTGGAAGCAGACTTGAAAAGGATGAATAGCGACTGGAAAGGATTGGCCAGAACAGGGTTGGATGGAGAATGTTGGTGGGCGGCCTATGCTTCTCGACGAGGGGTAGCAGGCGAAAGTAAGTAGACCGGCTAGTGATTACTACTTTATTTAAGTGTCCAAACTTATATTTCTCACTAGTAAATCAAAACAAATATTGACTTAATAGTTGATTTTGTATGTTTCATCATATATATGAATATCTTGTTTAGTATGTTTAAACCTCAATAGATGTATCTCATATAGAGGGACCAGTTTATAGTTATAACTCCCAAAACAATACGATCGGTTTAAAATTTACCACATGAACCTGCACTTCGTTGGTAATTTCCATCAATGGATAAATCAGTATTCCGTTCCTTTATTGCGCACCTTTCCAATCATTTAAATGTTATAGAAAGTATAGAATTCCGTTTATATTTTTGTAATATACTTCTTTTTCATAAACCAATTAAAGTATGTGGGATATGTTCTTCAAAATATGTCTTTGTTTAACCAGAGTAGATTCTTCGTTTCGATAAGACGGTAGTTAGAAGACAAGTAAAGTTTTATTTAGAGGACAACTTCCCTGGATAAATTCATGGCTCCAATTAGTCGTTCGTATAATTCTTTACCACTTTGCATAAAAAATGAAATCAATCTTCAACTACAAATTGATTTCGTGTAAACCATCCACGTTCCTTATATTGCTAAACTTCGATAATCTTTTAATGATGTTGGACTATAACCAGCAGTGAAATCCAAAACATATGTTAGCTGGACGCACTTTTATTCCGGTGCTGAAGTTCACACTGGAACTCCAGCCCAATACCTATCATTTTAAACCTCGATGCGTTGTTCACTAAATTACAGAGTGCAAATTTCCACTAACGTGTTCATTAGATATGGAAAGTATGAACATCACGGGGATTTCGTGTGGATTCAACTGACGAGTCATAAGTCCTCTTTCTGGACTCAACTGCCTCCCAAAATCTAACTTTGATCTAGCTTGTAACTACATAGCAATATCAAGACAAACTAGTTAATGTACACTATATGCCGAAAGAAGCTGGTCGATCCTAATTCTTTATAGCAACAACAGAAAAAGTACAAACCCTTACAAATTCAAATGTTTTTGTTTGAGTAGTACAGTCGATGAACACAAAATCCTAATAAAATGAATTAACAAGGCTATTTTGAGATATATATTAATGAGTTGATGGTTTTGATAAGTTGTACGATAAATACCATTGAAAAATAATTTCTTAATTTCATTATCATATTTCTCAAAGTAATTTTATTCGCTAATTTTTGTTATTAGGGATTCGAAAACGATTTGGAAAGTTTACACTCAAAATTAGCAATGACTCAATCAAATTTAACAGAATCTCGTGAGAATTACAAGAAATTCGCTTTAAATACAAAACAAAATCTTGATCAAATTGTGAAAGCTATACAAACGTTTATGAATTGGCCTGAATCCGGTTCACTGAGTCAACAAACTCCAATAACAATATGTTCAGTTTTTCGTCGTTTAAGACATTTAGAAAGGCGTTTAGAATTTGCTAACTCTCGTCTTCCCGTTTTACGCACTCGTTTATTGTTATCGTCATCATTATCACACCGGAAAGCAGATGTAGACCAGTCAACCCAAGTCAGCTACGAATTAAAACATTGGATTGGTGATATTTTATCAGAATCAGAGAAAGAAGAGTAAGTCAAAGTCGGTTCCATTTAAATTCCTATCAACTTAATATTTACAAATTCACAGAACAATTTACTCTTTTGTTGTAATTAGATAATAACTGATGTTTGTGATTTACAACAGATGTCTGAATATCATTAGTCCTTCATTAACCTTCCCAATCTCTTTGAATCTTCCGATCTTTCGCCACGCATAACGATGATTTAGCGTTTCTGTTTAAAAAAGACCTAGACTTTGTAAAAATGGCAGCTATTCTGAAGAATGTTATCTATCTTTTGTTTATGATAAGAAAAAAGTAGTGTGTAAAATGCATAAGAAGGAACTTGTTTTCTTTTTGCATTGAAAATCAAAATTTCGTAAAAGAACAAAAAAGTTGTATTTTAGTAAGTTTATGGTCTAAATTAGATGTCTCAAGAACGCTGAGCATTAATCGACCAAATTTAATCTGGCTTACCTATATGTCCTTGCATAATAAAATAATGACATCTATATTCCCATAGCTTTTTAAGCGATTCCAATTCATCAACGATATATTTTGTTTTCTATGCAACAAAAATTGATATGCTAGATTTATCTTCATAGTCATAAAAGTATTATATAATAATCACAGTGTGTGCAATTTCTACTTTTTTAATAGGATTATTTCTCAGGCTCAAACCGAGGCTCTTAGGGCTATAAAAGAGCGTGACCGAGCATTAGAACAGTTGTCCGATTACGTTAAATCATTTGATAATCGTGTTCAAGATGCTGAGAAAGCAGGTTTGTCTTAGATTTTGATTGCATGATATTATCCTAAGTTTGATCTATTCATATCTAATTCTTAAGTCATTCTGGAAGTACAAGAGTCATCATTACATGTGTATTCATATATTTAACAGAATATTTTCCTTTATCTTGGGGAAAGGGCCCCCAAATACCCTGGTACAGCCGAGAGTGGGAGAATCAGCTCTCCCTCTCGAAATGCTCTCACATGGCCACGTGTATACAACCACTACCAGGGAAGTCTTACTCACTGCCTTCTCGCGGTGGGGATGTTGTTTACGAAATTGAGAGGACGAAAAGAGAATGTTCGGTGCTTTAACCGGGTCGGTAAACACGAAGAGTCCACCTAGGGTTGTTGGAAAATCCTGATTCCAAACCAATGGTGTACAGGGGCTCCTGGACCCTGAAGGAACAAATGGCGTATGAACCAGTTGTTGGTCAGCGGCTACATCTCCTGACGTTGCTCCACGACGCTGTGGATCAAACCTTAAGGTCAAAGTCTCCGGGTGTTGCCCCCCTAAGAAGACCACCTGCTTCGGTTTTGGCACCAGGGCAGTATCCCAGCCCTCACATAAATCGAATGATTTATGTGGCGCATATCTATTTGGTGCCTACTTGTACCAATGCTTGTGCGTTCAAATAAGCAACTTTATCCCACATCTCACATTAGATGCCTTGTAACTGTACATTAAAAAATAATTATATTTATAAAGCGGACTTATCCTACTGTTAATTTTACCTTACCTGTTCTTAGTTGAAAAAGAATTATCAGAACTTCGGGAAGCAAACAGAATTTTGAATTTATCTTTACATGATGAACAAAAGGTTAGTTAGTTTTATTGATTAAAACTAAATAATGGTTACTACTCACTAATTAATGTAAACATCTCAGTCCTGAAGATAGGAGATCAATAGTGATCGGAATAGTTCAGTGGTAACCTTTCTAGTTACAGTTCTAAGTGACTTGTTAGTTTTTCTAAAGCAGCATCATTCCCTTCAAGATTACAAATCAACTTTATTTAGAGTACAAAGCAGCATAAAAGGTACGTTAAAAGCTTTCTACAAATTGCTTCTTACCGTTTAACATCAAAGTAATTTATTTAAACTCAGAGACTAATTAGTATAGGAATGAGTCTTGTAGAGAAATGTACGCCGAATATTGGTTATTAAAAGTTAAAGTTCTATGTTTTTTATAGTGAAAAATAATTTCGTTTGTATGTATTGTCTACACAATGTATATAAGATCCCTATACATGAATTAATTCTAAATAGTCTATCAGTCGTTTTACATATGGATATAATTATATTCTAAAAATTGTTCAGAAGTTTACAATATATATTACAATAATTAGTCTCTTAATATCAAATTTTTATACAGCTTATGCATAACGTTTAAGTTTCTTGTATAGAATATTCAACCCAAACAGTATGTCTACGACTGAGTTGCTCAATAGATGGTTAATTAAAAGAAATAGTTTGTCAAGAATAGACATCAACGTCACAAATTAACCAATAATCATTCACTCCTTTACATCGTAACAGTGCTATATATTCTATTCATTTCTAATACGTGTATATTCAACGGTAAACACTTGAATATAATAATAAATGTCTGTAAACGCTCATAGCGATGTTTTTTTATTTGCCATTTCTCAAGATACCTGAATGTAGAAAACTGTTTTTCAATAATAGCTTCGATATTTTGTTTTCAGTTAAGGGGTTCCCAAATTAACATTATTCTGTTAAATATTAATTATCCGTATGCTATTACGAAAAATGTTTCATCTAAGATGTAAAGTGAATAGTCTAGTTAGAACTACATCACCAATTCTATTAGTTCTATATATGCAAATGTTTCTTACTAGGTGGGCGAAATATTTTTGGTTACTGTGTTATTTTTATTAATTTGTAAAATGACGATAATGACCAGCTGAATACTTGTTAGTGACACCTTTTTTCACTAATCAGATAAGACTGATCAAAGTTATAATTACTTATTTCTTTTGTTTAAACTCTCTACCTCCCTCTCAGTAATTCATCATTAAAATCTGCTTAAATCATGAAACCTGTTTGGTTCTACGTATCCAACAGTCCATTACTGTATTTTTATGTATGAACGTTTCTCATCAATGTTGTACAAACTATACTTCAATGGAACGAAGTAAAATTAACTCACTGTGTGCAATAATCACTGCTTCAGTGCTCGTCAATTTGGGAGTTGATGTTTTCTCAGTATAAATAAAATAAGGTTTTTTCTTTGACTTTTATCGGCTTACACTATTTACAGTCTTGTTCTATGAAAATTCATCCCTTAAAAGAGGCTATCCAAACAGCGCGAAATTCATTCCACTATATCATCAAAATTTTTAAAAATATGATTTCCCATTGCTGAGAAATATATAAGTTGTTATAAGTAAGTAGTACAAAGTTATCAAATCATCTAGACAAGTTCCCAGTTTTTAAGTACTTGAGCAAGAGTTTTTTTTTATTCTTACGGTTAACTAACCTATCTTTTTTTTACCATATCTATTAAATTTATTCCAATCGCAACATAAATACATTGAAGTAAAAGCCTTCACAAATTTTTAAATATTACTTCCAACTTTAAATAATATGTTACTTTACAATCTACTTCTCATATTAGAAATTAAAAGAATGTTCAGATCAATTAAAAAGTGAAAAAGTAACTAATAATGATCTCGAACAAAAGTATACAAATGAAATTGGACATTTAAAAACTCAACTCTCCGAAACGGATATAAAGCTTACCAAAGCTTTAACGGAACTACGTCGGGCTGAACGCCGTGTAGATCGAGAAATTAATGAAAGAAAGTTACAGGTGATTTTAAAATTTTGTTTTCTTTTCTTATAAAGTCAAAGAGATCTGTACGGCTTACAAACAAATTATTGTTATGTTTTATAAAATGTAGAAAACAGACAGGTTTACTAATTAAGATATTCTTCGAAGTAGTAGATTTACTTAACTTCAAACTATAAAATCTGAGCGTTCTCAATTGTTAACCTTTAAAGACAGATGATGTGTCTGTACACGATTAGATCCAACGTAGTTTCATTACAATACTCATAAGAAATCCATTTCAGATTAGGACTCATTCCCGTTATTAAGAATGTTAATTTTCAGTGACACTACCTATTTTATTGTAAATAATATTCTTTTATCTTTCTTAATACGATTCTAGGTTATTACGAGCCTTATCTGAATATAATAGTTGCTTATATTAAACATTTTTGACACTGTGCTTCTGTTATTACTTGATATAATAGAATTACAGTTTACGTTTATGTGGTCATATAATTAAGAACATTGTCTGCAAATGACTCATATCTGACATCAATACAAGCTAAGATAGCATTTTTCAGTTTATCGAAGTAGTTATTTTATGTACTTTATATACTCATATCCAAACACCACCTATTTTAATCCACTATTTTTGCTGACATAAAATTAGTTTCGGAGGGGAAGAGGCTTTTCACAACAAAATATGACATCAATTAATGATGTTATTGTTGGTCGGATCCAAGTGCTGTAACTTTTCAGATGCGTCAGTAAAACGTTTCAAGTCCAAGTTGTCAGGTGATATAACTCAGAAGCTGCTAGTGGCACAGATGTATCACTACTTTCCTCCGACTCTCAGGTGCTACTAGACCATTTCCTGTTTTTTTCATTGCTTTCGTTCTTCTATTTTTTTACTTTACACAGGTGTTATGTTCAAGCTGAAAAACTTTCGTTCCAGGTTCTAGTTACTTTCTTCCTGTGTATTTAGTTTCATGTAGTAACATTTGTCTAGTGTTGTAACTGTACATTGGACATAGATCTAGTACTTCCAAGGCACAATTGTCATAGGGATATAACTTGTGTATAAAATTAGATGGATGTCTTAGACTAGTGAGATACATCAAAAGGCAAATCGATTGTAGACAATTCTCCCACTTTTTATCACAATTTCACCTTCAGTTTTTTCTTCATTGATTCAACACATAGATCAATAGTATTGAGAATACCTACAAATCCAAAATTCAAACTCTAGAGAATGCACTTCATTCGTTTTACCCAGAACCTTATCACTGCTATGGTAACAATACAGCGAAGTCACCAAATGTTATTCAAAAAATGACGAGTCCAATAGTACCTACATTTGCAAGCCATATTGGTAGGTTTATTTTAAGTCGCTTAACTTCCTCACATTTTAGATCTCAACGAATCAATTCGTAAACTTGACCACCTTGCTGATCGACTAAATAGCGATTTGTCAAGCGATTCAGATGCTGAAAAAGATGTTGAACAGTGACTTGTAGAAATATGAAGGCTGTACATATTTTCATATTTTAGTTTGTCTTCACCGTGATACACTACATTAAAGGTATGCTAATATAAGAAATGTTAATATACATATAACAAGCGGAAAATTCTTCAAATGTAACTCCTATTTATGAAGTTTTTAATAGTGTACCAATCAGAAATCGCCAAATGATAAGTGCATGTGGTTGACCAACAAATGGCTTTATTTTTCAAGGAATAAAATATAAACTACTGATAGGTTTGATTTCCTAAAGAACAAATCAATAAATGGGTTCACATACAATCCATTCAGTTTAGTTAAATAAACTTTCTTCCTCGCTCTCCATCTTTTCTTTCGAGTAGTCGGGTTTGTGCATAGAAAGTATGTATCAATATCGACTCGAGAACAATTTTTATTTCACTCGCTTAAAAACAAACGAATTTGTATACTGTATGGTTTCATATGAGTATTAATTAAGAGATTAAATTGTACTAGTACAAAAACACTCCAATGACATTATCGGATCACAGCAAGAACAAAATGATTGATTAAAAAATAATTATCGTGAACTGAGTATTCCTCTTGACCCCATACCGTCTAGATGTTATCTATTGTAAAATTTGTTTCAGCACACAAACTGCTTAGTCTACAGAGCTGATTACTCATACTGTATGTTCGGTATATGATTTCCAGGGTTACCAGATGTGAAAAGTAACTGTTAGCTTAGTTAGCACCTAGTCTAGTCAACATGTAGCATCTTTTCATAACACGGTATCGAAAAAACTACGTCGAAATGAGATAGCTTTTCCTAAGGCTTTTTTGTGAGTTTTCTGAACTGAATTTTCATAAACTGGTGTTTGCCTAAATATTCGGAGTAAAAAGTTTCCAATTTAATGTAAACAAATCAAATCAACACTTCATTTTATTTTTGACAAGCATCATGTCATATAAATTATCGGTTTCATTTAGGAATACTTTTATGTAAATAACAGTTATTGGACTGAAGAATTTCTTAGCAAATGCTATTATGTAGCTTTTACTTACTCTACAGTACTATTTATAAGTGAGCGTATGCTTCTCATTGGAAATTTCGAAATGTGAACTGTCCTAAATGTGAAAATTCCCAGAATTCTGACGCTTTTATTGGGTCGTCTCCAGATTTATTTGTACACATGGAGTAAGCTTATTGTTTGAAGAAATGTTCTCCTGTGGACAAACTATTGATAATCTGTTGAGTAATATCCGTAAGAGAGTTACTAGCATCAATAACAAGATATTCTTCATCTTCTCCAAATGACTCCAATGTTTCTAACTGACTTTCTATAAGTGAAGGGTGTGCAAAATGTCCCTTGCGCTCACTGACCCGTTTCTGTAGAAGACTTTTATTTGCACTTAGCAACACAAAAAGTGTTCTTGTTTGATAATTTGCATCGTTGCTATTGGATAAAATATTTCGGTACGACTTTTTCAAAGCACTGCATGCTAATATGGCATTCTTGTGTTGCATTAACTCATTTCTTAGGGACCGAAGCCATGGCAAACGATCTTCATCTTTCAGCGGAATTCCCATAGACATTTTAAATCGATTACTATCAGAATGATAGTCATCACCTTCTATAAATGGCCAGTTAGTTCGAATCGCCAACGAATTTCCTACTGTTGATTTTCCGCAACCACATGGTCCCATAATTACAATGATCATATTAATTTATATTATATGGGGCCTATAAGTAGAAAAATTAAATCGGACGATTATTAATTTGATTACTGACAGAAATGTAAACTGTATAATGCTTCAACTACATTTAATGTGTCTAGCTTCAAAGCAACCGAATAAGGGCGGAACTCCACAAGGGGATTTGGTGTCGATTAAGTGAGAATGCAGCCGACCAGGGCCTTTCTGAATACCCTTGGATAATAGTCAGTTTTCCTACTAAATAGATCCATGCAGCTGGAGGACACGACGGATATATGTTGCTAATTGCATAACCTTTCCTTCCAAAATAACTTAATTTCGGTTCGTCCCTCATATCATGAAGGAAACCTTGCGTTGAGATGTAACTTTTTGTAAGGTCTTATTTACACAATCTGATAAGAATTCAAATGTCAGTAGGCCTAGTGATCGAGACTCACAAAAGGCAGCTTTACTCTCTATGCTTTAATAAAATCGACAGTTGAAAACTGTCCTATGTAATATCAATCTATTTTGTAGTTTAATTACGAACATTTGATTTTACATGCCGTTAAAGGTAGGAGGATTTTCACTTCGCGGTTACCCACATCGTATTAAGATACTTCATGAGGTACCCAAAACGGCCAGGCTAGGAGCAGTTTGACTAACTAAGGGCACGAGCGTAGTGCCAAAGGACAACTGATTATGGCCGGTTGCACACTTATTTGAGTCGTTTCAGATGAGATGGCTCCGCAGTTTTAAGGCCTTAATCGCTGGAGACGGTAATCTGTAGGAAGGTGAGTGTGACATTTTTAGGGCTGATCTTTTCTAGATCCATCTGTTATGAAAAGACAACATTGCTGCGGATGCTGTATTTCTGAAGAAAATACCTTACTGCCGTCACACCGTGCAGTGAGCAGTACAACTTTGCCCTCAGCCCATGAGTTTGCTGCTTTTCGTATTAATACTCTCCAACCAACCTGCTTGGCATGAAAGAATCTGAAGGGGCGAGAGTTCCAGCCAATATACCTCAATTGGGTCACGAAGGTATACAAGTTCGACCACCATGTCACGGTAGGAGCCACGGTCAGGACGGAAATTGGATACCTAGTTTTGGTTGCGTGATACAAGTCAGGACATATCTAAGAGATGTCTTATGGTTATCAACCATTTGTCTGGTATCCTTCGCTTTCTGAAATACAGAGAGATTGTTAAACAAACTAGAGGTATTACAAATTTATCCCTTGAGTCTGTTTGCTGAACATATACATCTAACATTTTCAGTTCCAACAGTTCAGCGGTTAAACTGCCAACGGGCGCTGGTGCAGGAAAGAACGATAACAGTTAGTGCTTGATCGGACTTATTTACGTACATTTATGTAAGAAATTGTTTCTGCGACTAGCTACGAAGGTGTTTGTAGAAGATTAAATCAACTTGAATCCACCCAACCTGCATTTCTGTGACATTCAAATCGACATAATTGTACAGGTTGTCCGATCTCTGTTTGAATTCCTCTTTACAAACAGTTAGTAGATATATTGTGCTTACTTATAGCGCTCTTCAGTATGCAGTGCACAGTGTACTCACTAAGCAAATTACTAGCGTTGTATCCCATCTATTTGCTAAATGATGACAGACAGTCTATAGGGAAATAATTTCAATGCAGATCCACACAAATGATAACAAATCAGTTCTCGTCCAGGTCAACTTTGTTCCGAATTTTGCACGGTAACGATACAGGCATACATGTTTGTATTGCGGTAAGCTGTGAATACATGAAACATCCTTCTTTTAGATGACTTTTAGGTAGCCAAGGGATCGAAGGTAATATTTACTGAAGCCCTCGATTACTACGCCTTTAATGCAAACCCAGATGACAAGCTGCCGTGTCAAACTGAAGACTCTAAGAGATGAAGTGATGATTTTATTCAATAGAACAATTGTTGGGGCTGTTAAACGAAAAATGAATGATTACATATCCATTTTTGAAGAACTACAGGAGGATGGGTGAATCCCAATTTAGTCGTCAATATCTTGACTGGTAACTTCTCACCAATCGCTAAGTTCTTTCAAAACAAAAGTCTTCATCACAACACTGTCTTTTACTTCACATGATGTTATTAACGAGTAAGCTTTATTAATACTTAATTCTATTTTGAAAAGTCCCACACTTGCAATATCGCTTGTCTACTAATTGTAAAAGCGATCAGAACTGTCTAATTATATCAATAAGATAAATGTGCACATTATCATCCACCGTTGTAATGGACAGGAATACTTGCAGTATGATCTTTGGGATTTCTATTGAAAACAGACGGAGAAATCAGCACTTTAGAAGCTGTATTGCAGAAACAAGAATCCCATTATCAGTTTGTAAGTTGTTTAGAAAATTTAAGGTGACAAAATTACCAGAGATCTTTGGTAATGATCTTAAAAATGTTCACGAAGGCGATTCTAGCTTACATATTGACGTCAGAACTTGGTATTATTTACACCCTACGCGGAACTGAAAGTAAAATGGATATAAATCATTACATTCTACAAAACAACTCGCAGTAAGTCAACATTACAGTGAACACCTTTGGTTAGATATCCTGTGCTTACGGTTCGAAAGTTCAATCTGTCCTAAAAAAAGACATAACGCAAGCGACGAATGATGCAAACCAGGCTTTTGTGCACGATGCAAGGTATAAAACGTATAAGCGCAGATGGCAATCGAAAGAAAATGTAAACCTAACACAGTTAATGTGTATTACTGAATATGTGTGTTCACAAAGTATGTTTAGTAAATACTATCTACTCTATACCATTATTCTCCAGCTTGCCCCACAAATATACATGGACTCCACTGTAAGTTATTCATTCCATACACGTTACCTAAAGTTTCATAGCTCATGTACATTTCATACGTTCCTAAAGGCTCTTGTTTGGTGCATTTCATCAAACAAAAAAATTTGATACCTAGGTTTCATGAATCTCATCATATTAGGCACTTCTTTGTGACCTTGTATAACCGGAAAAGCACTGATATTGCTTTTATATTACTCACATTTTATTTGTATAATATTATTAACGGAATTTGGACTGGAACATAAGGAAAAACCAATCTCCGAATTGTGCACAATTAGAAGAAACAAATTACTCGTAAAAGATTTACAGATTTTTATTTTAATTCATTATACAAAATTACTTATGACACACCAGTCTTCTAACCATGACGATGAGCAAATATAACATAAGATATTACAAATGTTAACAAAAGAAGACTACATGGAGAATGTGACTAAATTGTGATGCAGGTTCATCTATTGTCTTCTAATGATCGTTTTACTTAAT